GCAAAATATTTTTAAAAAATTGCAATAATATCGTATCGTGCATTAAGTATTGTGATAATATCGTATCGTGGGATGTATGGTGATTCCCACCTCTAGTATTAGTTAATGTGCAAAAAAAAAAAAAGTTGGACAACAAGCAAGTTGAAGTTTGCTAAAACTGATTTAAATGAACCAAAAAATAAAGTAATGGCTGAAGTGTTTTCTCAAGTTCTCCACCGCTTTAGGCTAACAGTAGTAGATCAGCATTTGTTTGCTAAAGGTAATCCATAAATGGTTCAGGTACATGATGGTGCCAGTGAAGAGGTAATTTATCAGACTACAAATATAAGGAATCACTGTTGCAGATGTTCCCATTGCAGAAATTTTGAGTCTGATCTAATAAATCTGTTCTTTAACCTTAAAAAGATTTAAGACAAAACTTAAATTTAGTTTATTAAATCTCTTCTTTAACCTTAAAAATAGTTTTTTTAAGACATAAACAGAGGACTAATGGAATCTTGACTGACTTTTATCGATTTATGTCTAGTGATGTATTGCACATTTACAAGGCGTCATTAAATCTTTTCAAAGGGTTTTCTGTATTGCCTTAATGTCTGCTTTGCAGTTTCTGTTCATTTACATGTGAATTGACTCCGGAAACAGCACTGTAGAAGTTGTGTGACTGGCTTTTCTTAGCCCTTATTGTCCCAGGCAGCAGTGGAGTGGCAGCTAGTCGATATCAGACTTTACTTTCACAGTCGCTTAAAGCTCAGGGACATTTCAAGGCTGTGACATCAGTCGAGCTATAATCATGATGCTAGTATTGACTCTGCATGCACTCTGTTTTTATTGCTCTTTCTTTGTTTCTTCCCTTGTTTCTCTTGTCGTTTGTTTGTTTGTTCCTCTCTTTTTTTCCCCCACTATATTTTCCCTCTGCTTATCTATTTGTGTATATTTGTAGTGATTCAGAAGTTTGAAATGGAGCCGTGGGACCTTTAAGCCCACCTTTTGTTCAGCTTTATGTCCTGTCAAGAATGGGCCTAATCAGCCTTAGTCTATTACACTTTCTAGCTGCCACAAAGCCACATTTCACCCAGAGCTACTCTGACGAACTGATCAGGCTGATAAGTCTCTTGACACTAATATAGATGGAAAAAAGACACTTTGATAAATGACCAGATTAATAGGCAAGAATTCACCTCTATGCTGTAGCCACTGAGGCAAGTAAAAGCCTCGGAGGCCCCAGCTGCTAGTGTGTACTAGTTAAGACATTGGCCAGAATCGGCAGCGATGACAGCTGGGTCTCCTGCACTGTCCCTGTGTGATGCTGACCAGCCTTATCAAAGATCTCTCATGTGTGATTTGGAGCTGATTTGGCTCAGACGAGACAGATGTGTCTTCCTGTACAGCTCAAAATGCCAAAATCTAGGTGTTTGTGATAGAGGTCACTTGGTTATCTATTTTTTTTTTTTTTTTATCTTTTCCTTTTGTTAAAAATAATCTACCAGTCTCACTGATGTAGTGATGCCGCGTAAAAGTAAACAAAGTCACAAATTTCTTTAATTTCTGTAACTGAGTAAAAAAGCGATGACATAATGGGCACTTGCTGTTTTTACTGCTTCCCCTGCAGATGACATGGAGGCCATCCCTGTTAAGCAGTTTGTGAAACACGTCATGGAGCTCTACAAAAACAACATGCAGGGTTTTGCTGAGGAGTTTGAGGTACTCTTTTGACACAACATTGTGAAGCATTGTTAACCCTCGCTGCGTACAGAGTCGTGTTTTACATCAGAGCTGGGTTTTGTTGGTCTGCCTTTTAGTTCTACTCTGCTTTACGTTCGTGGTAACCTACAAACTAAACAAGAAGAGAGGTCATGTATGCCAACATGCAACTCTTTGATTGGGCAGTTCTTGCAGTCCTTTACTACTCATTTGTATTTACAAAAGCAAAGGTCCTGAAGGTTTATTGATAAAGGAGCATCATCATGAATGGAGATGAGCGAGTGGAAAGGGTACGAAAAGCTTTTTAAAATAATTACTGTGTTGTTGCTGCGTTTTATGTATTTCTTTCACTTACACAAAGAACCATAAAATCGAGCCAATCCAGTGGATCTGCTTTGCTTTCACGCCACAAACCTCGCCACACTCTGCTCGAGGGAGGAACTTTCCTCGTAGTCTTCCTCTATGTAGTTTACCGCTCAGCCATAAAAGGCCGACGGTATGTTGTTGTCACCGAGTCAGACAGGCTGTGTATCTGTATCTAATGTAATCTCAGGCAAGTTCGATTCGCAGTGATCTCAATCTAAAGGTCAGAGGTCAAGCTTTATGAAAATCTTGTGACTGCAATTTTAACTTTACGTTGTTTGATAGATACATCTAAGAGTCTGAGGGGTAGCACAGGGGTTTTCACACCAGTCCAAAGCCAACAAACCAAATGAGAAGTTTCTTTGAAGTAAATCAATAAAAAATTACGTAAATTTGCGTAAAAGCACATAAACTAGTGCTGGTACTGCTAAACTACTGAGCACAGAATTTATCTTTTGTACACGCTGTCTCCAAATGGGCCTGCCAAATCTGAACAATGGTTGGACATTATATCATGCACACACTCGTGCGCGGGGTTGCTAATTTTGAACAGATGGTTGAGAGAAAGATGGAGAGAGAGACCAGAGTGATGAAGGTTAATTAGAGAAGGTCTGTCTGCCGGTTGACCGGACGGGAACACACTCTCTGTGTAACTAGGTTAAGAAAGGAGGCAAAAGCTTCACCCCCAGTGTATTCCTTCTAATTGGGGTCATGTAATGTGATGCCTGTGTGCGCAATGTTCAAATGCACCACGACGAAGCCGTTTTGGACGTGATTGTTTTTTTTTGGGGATGTGACTGAATGCATCGTGCTGTAGAAAAGAAGAAGGCTGTTCTACTAGAGGCTCGAGTTCAAGCCCCAGTTGCAGCAAGCATCTGCTCTGAAGCGTCCTTGAATAAGACACAGAATCCATGCTAGAGGTTCGGCTTTAAATTGGGGGCTATGAGCTGTGCACAGGGGAGATCTGTAGGGTGGAAAAAAATAAAACTCCCCCAACAATATAGTATCACAAAGAACACTAAGATTTTGAGTAAATATAACTTCTTTTTAGAATGTAATTCTGTTAGATCTAGCCTCCTTAATAAAATCAATTTCTGTTTATTTTTTTTCCCTCCCTGCAGGAGGTCCAACGCTCCACAGCCGACCTGAAAATCACAGCAGAACATTCCAATCATCCTGACAACAAGCACAAAAACAGATACATCAACATTGTGGCCTGTGAGTCAGCTGTAAAATCTGATTATGTCTGCCGCTTTGGATTCCAATAATGTTCATAAAACGGGTTTTCATCTTTTTAATAATTCTCACAAATATGTCAATGCTTCCCCTTAGACGACCACAGCCGGGTGAAATTACGGGCTTTGGCAGGAAAAGATGCCAAACATTCGGATTACATTAATGCCAACTATGTGGATGTGAGTTCAACCAGCCACTTAACATTGTCGAAGGTTTACTTTTCTTTTTTTTTTGTTTTTGAAATGGAAAGGTTGCGAGTCTGGACCGCTTCAGCTGAACAGCGACTTGAATGAAGCAATAGTGTGATGTGAAAGAGTTATTGGCAGTGCTAAACTGCTTGCTGACAGCTTTGTTTAAAATATCAATCGAGGTGTCCAAGTCATAAACCTGACAGATAGTAATAAAAATTTTGAAATTTATATTTGAGAAATGTATTCATGCATGAATACGTATCATTACTGTCAGCTCAAGGAGTGAATTTCATGACCGGCAAATGTTTCGCCAGTAAATCGGTTGCATCAGCTATATCAGGAATATTGATAGAGGAGTGATTGCATCTTACCAGTAAACAACACTCCCTCCACTCTCCTGTTTTCAGGGCTACAACCAGCCCAGAGCTTATATAGCTGCTCAGGGGCCTCTCAAGTCTACATTCGAGGACTTCTGGAGGATGGTGTGGGAGCAGAACACTGGAGTCATAGTCATGATCACGAACCTTGTGGAGAAAGGAAGAGTAGGTTCACTTTGATCTTACACATAATCGAAGCAAACATTTGACTGTAATTCAGATAGGTTCAAATGTAACTCGGTGCACGCTGTGTGTTTCAGAGGAAATGTGACCAGTACTGGCCAACAGAGAACAGCGAGCAGTATGGAAGCATCGTGGTGACCCTGAAAAGCACCAAAGTGCACGCTTGCTACACATTGCGCCGTTTCCTTATTAGGAACACTAAAGTTAAAAAGGTAACCAGACACTTGCACTATAATAAACTTTGTCTTAGTGGGTTGAACCTGCTGAAATATCGAAACATCGACATCACTGTCCAGTCAAAAGAAAACACTGGTCGACATCTGCCTGCTTCAGAAATGTATTTGGTAAATATGAATCTGCTCTAATCGCAGAGAATTTTTGTGTACTCTGAAAATTATTAATATTGTTCCAATTTGGAATTAGTGGGAAGCATCTGATTACACTGAACAGATCAACGGATCAAGCCAAGGTTGTATCCATGTGTAACATGAGATGCATCGGGTTTTTTTTTTTTGGGGGGGGCGCGGGGGTTTGTGGATTATAATTAAAAACCTTCCCAAAAAATGAAATCAGGACAGATTTATAAGGGTAGTCAGATTTATCAGGTCACATTTATCCAACATGTTCTCTCTCTGACTGTTAAATCTTAACGCAGCTTTCATTATCATTCACTTTGGTATGTGTCGTCGTCCCCCCCAAGACGATTTAGTAACCATAGCGACTACCTTGCTGCACCAGTCATTTCCTGGAAACGAATATTTAGTAGCAACTATTCTTAACATTAGAACTTGTTTGCGTTGTGGGGATAGAACTTTAAGTGATTGTGGGCAGGTTACAGAGTAAAATATCATATTCATCAAACCATTAGTGAGCCCTCATGTCCTGTGAACGGAGGCCGTGCCAAATTTGCGTCAGGACAGAATAAAAGCAATCACTGAGAAATATTGATTTGTAGTATCCCTACCCTCTAAGGGATTATGTGGGCCCAAACAGTGCAGAGCAGTCACAGGATGTCCTTGTGTAAAGGTGAACGGTGCTAGTTTTTCTATTCATTCATCACCCATTTTTCTTTCAGTAACCAGCCGTACACAGTTCATAGGTAACCACGGGGAGATCTAGAGTGTTTTGTACATGCTTACGCTAGGACACGCATTATAATGTTGTAAAGAACAATTTGCATTTCTGTTTAGAAATGCTGAGTGGGAGATTTCAAATGCTATGCTGTTTATCTCCTGACTATTTTGTTCCATGCTCAGAAATGTTGTTTCTGATGTCTTTCAGGGGCAGAAGGGGAACCCGAAAGGGAAACTAAATGAGCGCATTGTGGTCCAGTATCACTACACTCAGTGGCCTGACATGGGAGTACCGGAGTACACCCTTCCTGTCCTCACCTTCATCAACCGCTCATCTGCAGCTCGTGCTGCAGACATGGGCCCTGTCCTGGTGCACTGCAGGTACATCATTATTACTTAGCTCTTGGGCTAGATGAGTGTTACTTATTAGCATTAGGCTCATATTTGCTGACCTGGCCAAAAACTTTCTGTACGGCTTTGCTTATATTGCTTGTCGCTCTGCTCTTCAGTGCAGGCGTGGGGCGCACCGGAACATACATTGTCATTGACAGCATGCTGCAACAAATCAAGGACAAAAGCACAGTCAGCGTCCTGGATTTTCTCAAACATATCCGCACACAACGCAACTACCTAGTCCAGACTGAGGTAAGAAGCACTAAATAATCAGTTACTCTGGGAAATGTCTCTAAAGGTCATCTCTGATTAAAGATGGATAGGGAGTTATGAAAGCTGTTCACTTTGATACTCTAAGCTCAGGTAAAGGTCACGCTTCCTGCAGTTTCAGTGCAACACGCAGAGCAAAATGTGATGTGGTGAGACCAGAATGAGTCCATACTGTTTGTCCTCTGGCAGCAGTTTAGTCGTTTTTTTTAACTATGGGATGATTGATCATAGTTACCTGCTGCCCCTGTCCATTTATATTCCTGCTATCTTCTCTATGAGATCAGTTCACAGACAACTGTCAGGAAATGTGATGTTGTTGTCTCTTCCATGGTTTCATTTAAGCTTTTTAGTACCACTTTACCTTGGAAAAAAACAGTTAATTTAACCAGATATTAAATATTTTATCTTAATACCCTCACTAAATGTTAGAGGCAGATATTGCAGTTTTGATTTCACTGTCAAAGATTTGGATGTTACATGAGAAGTCCACAATGACAGGCTGACCCACCTCACGGCACACAACCCTGAGAATGTCCAACAAAAAGCAGACTCCTGGTCACACTCCTGACCTGCAAACTCTTCAAACTGAAAACTGCCTTTTGGTATCGGGCTCATAGCGGCAGACCCAGCTCTGATCAGCACTGATGATCCTCACCGTGAAAGGTTCAGTTTGACAGAGAAGTTTCTGCCTGCTGTCAGTTTGACGTCTGCAGTGAAAGATTTCCAGGAAGCAACTTTTAAAGGGGAATCGGACAAATTCAGATTAAATGTTTTGTTTTGTGCTTTTTATTTCTTTTGACTGACTCTACTAGTTACTCTGCAGAATCCAATATTTATTATTTAATCCTTTATATTTTAATTAAATATATTGTTTTTATAATGTCTGTAAATGTCTGATTTTTATCTTCAGTAAACGATGTCAATAAAAGTAAATTGGCTTGGTGGCTATAACTGGATGAAGTCTAGTTCTTACGTAATTTGGGATACATCAGCTTTTTCTGGTAAAAATGGCTCCTTGAATGGCTCCTTTGTTCTCCACATGTCCATCTTCCTGTTTTTTTTTTTTTTTTTTAAAGCTCTTTGGGAATCATCTGGTTGGAAGGAAAACACTGTTTTGTGCCTGTTGTCTCTGGCTTTTTTCACATATTCAACAAAACAAATGGGAACAAATTTTGTGCTTTTGCAGCAGGTTACCAGTAACAAAGTGCCTAAACATACAATTTAAAATCAGTTCTTTGCTGCTTTGTCTTTTATGTGTTGACACATCACTGATTCATCCTTTGAGTTTGGTGCCTTTTTATGTTTGAATGATTCGTAGGTCAGTGTCAAGTGACTTAACAAACAAAACAAAAAATTCCTGTGAGACTGTTTAGGTATAACGACTGGACTGAAAATGAGCAAAAAGAGAGCGTTGTCAAAATAAAAACTTTGAAACACCTTCAAAAAGCCTGGAGAGATATTGCTGGAGACTACTTTAAAAAAAAAAATCTGGCTCCTTGGAAGCAAAATATAAAGAAATGAGGGATGGATTAAGACTTTTACACAGTTTATATATACATATATGAATGAAATGAAACCATAAAGTAGTAAGATACATTTAAACATTTCTGAATGCTGTATACCTTTTGTCTCCCACCAGGAGCAGTATGTTTTCATCCACGATGCTTTAATGGAGGCTATCCTGAGCAGAGAGACGGAGGTGCCCGCCTGGCAGCTTCACAGCTATGTCAACAGCGTCCTTACACCCAACTCAACAGGCCGCACACGGCTGGAGAAGCAGTTCAGGGTTAGTAAGCCTTCTGAAAGTCTAACTAGCCGCGTTAGACGAGCTGTCTGCGTCAGCAGTGGCTCCATCAGCTGCATTTGAGGTGGTCTTTGACTCAGAAGCTTGTTAGTAACACGCAGGCGGCTTTCCACTCGCAGACAGAAATAAATTGAGAGCGTCTCTGATGTTGATGCTAATAAAGTCATGTCTGTCACCCCTGCCGCCTTATGCAAAGCTTGATGAATGTTTCATTAAGCTCCTGCTCTTTCAACATCAGGAGAGACAAACTAATTGCTCCCACATAATGTCACTTCCTCCTGAGATTCACATGCTTGTTATTAATGTGAAAGACTTGCTGTTAATTTTGGGGTTTAAACAGTATTATATCTTAGTTTTTATGTGTTTGATTTTAATTTACAGCGACTCTCCGGACTAAAATCTAATTTTGCCTTCTCTCTCGCCAGCTGCTGACTCAGTGCAACACACGCTTTGTGGAGTGCTTCAGCGCCCACAAAGACTGCAACAAGGAAAAGAACCGCAATTCCTCAGTGGTTCCCTGTGAGTATTTACAACAGCATACTTGACATGGAGCCGAGGCTTCGGCGAACCAAGGTCATGTCGAACAAGCTCTCGGCAAGAACGTGTTTAAATAATCTTCCACCAATCGTATCAATCTTGTGTTGGTTAATTTTGTAAATGAAAGGAAATGAGAATTGGGCTCAGATTTGCTTATGGCAGATTTTGCAGCCTCTCTTTATTCATATTTCCAACATTAAAATCGTTCGCCGTAGTCCTATAAGTTAATCTTTCTATGCCTTGGTGAAACCCTGATGATGGAAAAGGAGGTCCTTGTTGCTATAGCAACAGTCGGGACTGGTAATAAATGTGTGCATTATCAGTCAGTGCAATATTACAGAGGCCGGGGTTCTGATTCAAAATGTGTTTTTCTATCTCTGCCTCTCAACAGCGGAGCGAGCAAGGGTTGGACTCGCCACTCTGCCTGGCATGAAAGGAACAGATTACATTAATGCATCCTACATAATGGTACAGTGTGATAGCTCCTGAGAGATTTTTTTTTTGTTTGTTTATCCTTTGTCATTGTGGGGTTTTTTTGTTGTGTTTTGGGGGGTCTTTTTTTGAAGAATTTTATTGACTGATGTTTCCTGTCTTGCAATTGTTTGACAGGGACAGTGCTGAGTGTCTGAGAAAATAGCTATAAATGAACCCGAGTTAGAGCTATAGACTAGCTTGTAGCTGTGTCCCTGGCTAGTTCTGAAAGAGCGATCTATATTTAAATGACAATGATGATGATTGTGATGTGGAGGTTACAAGTAGGTCCATAATTTGTTGAGCAGAGACATGAATTTTATAGTTCTACCTCACAAAACCACCACATTGTTTTTACTATGTGATCGGTTCTGCAGCATTTGGCTGAATCTGAGCCCTGAACATGTCACATTTCATCCTGCTGCTTCTATCAGCAGTCACATCATCAATAAGAACTAGGGACTGAGTTCCATTTCCAGTCATACATGCCGATGCCATTAACATTGCCTCCACCCTGTTTGACAGATGACGTGTCATGCTTGTTTCTCTCCTTCTCCGTATTCCTCTCTCGCCATCATGCTGGTACATTAGTCTCGGTTCATCGGTCTGAAGTCTTTGTTTCCGAGTTCTTTTAAATGTTTCCCGGCAAAGTCTGATCTGCTCTTCTCGTTCCTGAGTGTAACCAGTGGTTTGCACCATGTCGTAAACCCTCTTGATTGTTTATTTCAAATTACAAGGAAAAACTGCAAAACTAACCACATTGAATCGGCTTCAGATGTTATGTCTTCTTCATTTGTCGTGAAATTACAAAGCTTCACCTGGACATGAAATGTGGTTGTCAGTCAATTCTTTACTAAATTTTGGATCTCTTGTATTAAAATGCCTGGAATTCTTAAACATTTAATTCGAAATTTAATTTAAACTGAACTCAAATCTGCATTTCAATCACATTTCAGTTGTTTGATTTAACATCACCTGTGGTGATGTACAGAGGCAAAATCACTTTTTCCACAAATTATGGACCTAACTACGTTTAAGTTTTATTTTTTTTGGTGTGGGAAATATTTCATATGCATGAGTGCTGTGACCTTGAGAAAGACTAAAAGCTCACTGTCTGTTATTTCAGGGCTACTACAGGAGCAATGAGTTCATCATTACCCAGCATCCTTTGCCTCATACCACCACAGACTTCTGGAGAATGATTTGGGACCATAACGCTCAAATTATTGTCATGTTGCCCGACAACCACGGCCTGGTAAGTAATGGAGGAAGATTATACATTTTTCTCTGAAGTTTCTTATTTGTCTGTCCCGCAGTTTCTGATGGACGTGCGCCGTTTGTACGTGAACATTTAGAATGAAAATGAATCATTAGTGAAAAAGTAAATACCAGGTTTCTGTCATGGTTTCCCTGCAGGCTGAGGATGAATTTGTTTACTGGCCAAGTCGCGAAGAGGCCATGAACTGCATCGCCTTCACTGTCACACTCATCAGTAAGGACAGACTGTGCCTCTCCAACGAGGAGCAGATCATCATCCATGACTTCATTCTAGAGGCCACACAGGTAGCTGCTCCTCTGCCTCATTACATCAGTGTTGGGTTATTATTACATGACGCATCACGTCAGGAGTTCATCGTCTTTATTACATTTTATTTCAGTAGGGAAATGCTGTAATGTGTAGAATCCTAATTAAACATGTCATGGGTGTGCACTCTTCTTCTCCAACAGGACGATTACGTTCTGGAGGTGAGGCATTTCCAGTGCCCTAAATGGCCAAACCCTGATGCCCCTCTCAGCAGCACCTTCGAGCTCATTAGTGTCATCAAGGAGGAAGCCATGACTCGAGATGGCCCCACTATTGTGCATGATGAGTATGTTTATATTTACCTTTATGGCTTTTGTGATGAGAAAAGACTAAATAATCTTTGGGTTAAGGTTCAAGTTAAGTTAATCTAAATGTGAAGAGTTCAGAAGGGAAGGTCTCCTCAGATGTTAAATTAATTTTTGGTAGATGTGGTGACATTGTAGGGTCTTCACAAGTGGGATACAGATGGAGTGCTTTCCATGGCTTGGGCTTTGAAAAGTCCTTAAGTGTGTGCACTTGGAGGATAAACCAAAACACCAGAAGTGTTTTTAGTAACCAGGCAACCAAAACGGTTTCCATGTTCCCAGCTGATGTCTTTCCTCCAGACATCTGTACAAATCCTTAGCTGCTGTTGGTAACAACAGCGCCTATCAGAATAGTTCTCATCGCACAATTTCCTCACGATGAAAAATAAATCGGTTTGCTCCCTGTAGTTGTCAAAGACCAAAAAAACAGCCCCAGTGTTCCCCCACTCATTTATATACTAGGTGCGAACATGATGGGATGCTTATGACTGACAAGGGAAGCTGTATGCAGCCAGGTTTATGCTTTCTTTGATTCAGTGCAGTGATGATTTTTTTTCTTTATAAATTAACTTGTTGTGAGTCTTACACATCTTACTGCCCAATTAATTTAATTTCCGTAAAACTTTGCCTTTAAATTGGCACTGTACCTTTTATTTTATATTACTTTATATTGACTTTTTTCTCACTTTTACTTATTCAGTTATTTACAGTGGTGGCAAATGTAGCTGTGACCTCCATCGGTGCTTTCTATATGCAACTGTATGCATGACTCTTAACTGGTAATGTTAAACCATTCAATCAAAGATTCTAGTGCAGAGGCTGCCGAGGCATTGTGATTCAAGTGTACTCGCTGACAGCCCTTTCTCTCATTTGTCCGATAACCTTGAGTGATACTGTGTCGTGACATGTCAGTCTTTAGAGCACACAATGAAGATCACAATGATCTAACCTCAGTTTAAGAGTGATATAAGCTCAAGGAACTATTCAATGTGAAAGGGACATGGCAAAATGAAACCGTTAACTTTAGGGGAGGGAGGAAGAACCTTTCCGATGTCTCCGAACCAGAAATGCTTATGATCAAAGAGGACACTAGTACGCATGTGCAGGGCAAAAATAACAATTTCTGACACTAAATAATTTTGCCATGCCTAATTAACCCTTTGGTATGAGTTTGTGGTCACAAGCGCTACATTCAAGTCTTCCTTAATAGAACATGATGTTCATTTTGTCCCAATTAGAGTTGAATAAATAAGAAAGCAAAGTTTACTTTTAGGCCTGGCAACATTTTACTTGATAAGTTGCTGCAGAACGAACGTGTAGTGTTTGCGGTTTTAAAAAAAACAAACAAAACCAAAACAGTAGTCCAGAAACCAGCAGTGACTATGCATAACGTCAGCAGCTTATTTGTAGTAGCTGTATTCAATCTATAAAGGGACATACAAGAAATTAGCCCTATATATGCAGTCATTAAGGCGATAACACAAAAGTAGGAAAACAGCCAGCAGAGCTGATTCTGGGTATCTCCTCTCAGGTATGGAGCAGTGTCAGCAGGAATGCTCTGTGCCCTCACCACGCTGTCCCAGCAGCTGGAGAACGAGGGTGTTGTCGACATCTATCAGGTGGCTAAGATGATCAATCTTATGAGGCCAGGAGTCTTCACTGACATAGTAAGTTCACACTGTGGTAAAACATCGAGTGCCTAAAATTTTGTGTTACAATTGTCAAATATTTGTATCATTTTTTTTTTCCTTTAACAAGCATGTCAAGAATTGTCAAACACCTTTGAAGTTGAAGTGGATTGTCTGCTTGCACAGTGCTTTACTGTGTAGTCTACTGTCACCATTTTCCATAAAACCCATCTAAAAACGAGTATCTGCTCCGAATGGGCCTCTGAATTAATGCTAAATGTTGCTCTGTATCTACTGGAAGTATAAATAGATTTGGATTGGGTTGCTAACACCTTTTGCATATTAACGTCATTAGCTTGCGATTGACATTGTTGCGTTTACAGCTTGTTCTGCTGCCCCCAAGTGGCCAGAAAGTCAATTAATACTGCCTTAAGCTGCATTTACTGCTGCATTGATTATTTTCTTGTCAACAGCAGGCAGAAAAACAGGCTGGCAGATACACAAATTGCCAGGTGTCTTCACATCAAGCACGCTTTTTCATTCAGCAGAGATGGAGCTCCATTAGTATTCTTGGCTTTGTCCAGTTTTCCTTAAGCTCTGTTTTCTTCACCAATTCCTGACAAAATGTCTTTGGCTTTAGCTGCTAAATGCCTCATGGTGTTCACCATCTAGTATTATTTTTTAAAGCTTTCTATGGTATGTGGTGAGAATTCACAAATGGATCGTTTGGGCAAAAAGGCTGGCGAACTGGATGTTTCTACTTTTTAGGTGACGCACTGCAAAAGTCACTTTCATTCAACTGTTTGTAACAGAAACGTCCTTTGATGGTGGTACGTAGACATGCTTGTGACTATATTAAAAAAGTTAAGTGATCTTTAGAGTGAACTTGGTGCCTATTTTTGTGTTTGTGTGCACAGGAGCAGTACCAGTACCTTTACAAAGCCATGCTCAGCCTGGTCAGTAACCGAGAGTGTGGCCTGAGCCCCATGCACATGGACACTAATGGGGCGGTGGTGATCGCAGACGAGTCGGACCCCGCAGAGAGCATGGAGTCGCTCGTCTGAGGACATTCTTACAGGCACTTAATTTGTAAAAATCCGAGAACATTTCTGAGGCCTTTTTGCCAGACTATTGATTAAAATGAATAACCTTATTACTTTTTATACTGATAAAAGTTTTTTGATATTTATGTTTTTGTCCTTTATTTCTTGTCTTAAATGTTATCCTGCTGAGCGTTTGCACCTGTTTTAAGTTGACACGAGGAATAAGCAGCTCTGTCCAGTTTGCACTATACTATCAGTGTTACTGCCTAAAATCCAGTGAGCAAAAGTATGACATCATTAAATCCTGGCATCGCGAGGAAACTCGGATCTTGGACCGCGCTGAGACAAACGCGAGGCACGAAGGCCGGGATGCGCTGAAGCGATCCACTTCCTGATTGTCTCGGAACAAAACTTCACTTCATTTTACAAGCATGAATTATGTCACTTTATCACTTCAGTCAGACTAACTGTTTTGAGGCTCCGCTCCACAGGGGTGAAGCTTTTTTATCTCGTGAAGAGACTCACACCTGCCTATATATTATTTCCCCAGTATCTCACTGCTGTCTTGTAAAATGTACCTATGGCTTATTTTGTTAAAGTGTGTTACAACATCTAATGTGAACATTTATTGCTTTTTACAGGGATTTATATTGTTATATTGTTAAATTGTTTTGTAATATATATAAATATATCTATAAATATTATATCCCTAATAGCCAGCCAATGATTGTTTTGTTTTTTTTTCTTATTTGTCCACCTGCCTTGGTGTAAACTTACTTCCTTTTTTTTTTTTTTTTTTTTAAATAAATGGAGATCTGTAGCTTGTCATGTATTGCCTACAAATCTCCAGCTGTGTTTTTCTTTATTTTTTTTCAGCATTTCTTTGAGCTTTTCTAACCCAAGCGGTCCAAGCTCAGCTGTTAAACATCTGTACCAACAAAATGTAATCGCTCTACATCTTTTTTTTTTTTCCATGTGTTTTTGCAATGCAGTGGATGTAACGAGAATTTATTTTTGACGCTGATCAACACCAAAATTGAATAAATGAATAAATAAAATTCACGTCAAAGTGAAAACAACTGGCGGCGGATTCGTTTTCAACATTTAAAAATCCAAATCCCACATTTTTCTGCACAAACATTCAAGGACTTCAAGGCCACATTCACAGAGGGATCTTTGGCAGCATTTATAAGTTGGTTAGGTTGAGTCATTAGAGGATATGTGCATATCAGTTTTGTGGATAATGATACTGCAGTTTTGTTGTCCTTTCAAATCCTGCCAAGCTGATGTGAGCAAACTGCCAGTTTTTCAAGACTTAATCTGGACTATATACATATATCTATATACATATATAGATATATCTATATATATGTGTGTGTCTCTCTCCATTCATATGTATACACAATATATCTATATATATAAATCAAAATAAAATATGGTGCATGCCTGAGCTTGAGATGTGGAGGTGAGCCTTACAAGCATAAGGTTTGTTGAAGCCCTTCACAGAAAGTAGGCAGAGGGACTTCGAGACAGGAGCTAAAAGAGGATAAACTGAGGGGCTGTTTTAAACTGTGAATCATTCAAGGCTACTCCATTAGAGTACCACAATAAAAAAAGATGAAGCAGGAAATGAGTAGAAATCGCTCTCAATTAAGGAAAGTCATGCTTTATAGTTCATTGTTTTACCCAATTTTACCACAGAGAAGAATCCCCGCCAGGCATCCTGGTGAAGATGTTATTCAGTGCCTTGTTCAGATGTTTTTGGGTTTTTCTTTTGGATGATAGTTATCTTTGTTCGTAATGAAGTTATTGCAGGAAAATGAACTAGGACTTGGACTTCATGGGACTGAAATTGCTCAATGTACTGTCATCACAAAGTGGATTAACTTACGGAAGGATGGACTATTTAGATTTTATTAAAAGGGGTGAATGTGTTTGCAAATTAATCGATCTGAATTTGCATTCAAATTCTTGAATATCTTGATATGGGTCATTTTTCTCACCCTGTTGATCAGTGTCAAAAAAAAATTATGTTACTTCCATTTAAAATTGTAAACAAACACTGAAAAAAGTCAAATTAGGTGAAATCGTTCTGTGGAGGTGGGGGGGAGGGGTGCTTTATTTGTAACCAAAGATGTGGTCCCGCTTTGGAACATGTTATTGGTTTTATCCTGAGATCTATTAAACCAGATAGAATTTGAAAATCCATATAGTTAAATCTCGCAGATTTCCACTGTGGAAAGTGTGAACTTATCCTTTGAGCATGTTTCACTTCTAGCCTCAAACTCGCCTTCCACAAGCTCAAGATCAAAGACTTGTGTGACGAGGTTTCAAATTCCGACTGTAAATTGTATTTTATCTGGACTTTACTGCGTTAGTTTGGAACTGTAATTATAACCCATTTTCAACCCTTAACATTCCTCTCTTGGTTGATTTTTGTGTTTTCTGAGATCGATTTTTTTTTAAATTTCATTTGATTTTTTTTAACTTTTTTTTTTTTTAAATTCATCTGATAACATTTCCTTTCCATCCGGGAGTTTGCTTAATCCATTGAAACCCCTCTGACATTTGGAGAAACCTTTTTTTCATTTTTAAATTTTCACCTCGTGTTGGTGTGTGTGTGTGAGTGTGAATGCCAGCATCTTTCTCTGCTCACATTTGAAACACAAGTGCTGTAGCTTCACGCATTTACTTAAAAAGGAAAAAAAAAAAAAATCTGTAACCTTTGTGATCATAGAAGTTTATATTTTCATACAAAGATTTGGTTTGTACAGAGGACCTGTAACAGATTGTACTTTTGTGAAAACACCTCAGCAAAACTCCAAACGAAGCTGCCCTTCTGAGATCCGCCATGACGATTTAGATCAGATATCAGATATGTTGGTCTCGGATCACTTCAGCTACGCTGGTCATTAACTCTAATCTGTAACTTTCAATTCAAAAAAAAAAGAAAAAAAAAAGGTTTTGTCAGTCACATTACGTGTTTATATGACAGTATCATAGTTATTCCTATGATGCTATTATATACCATATTATAATATACTGTCATTTAGGTAAATTGTATTGCTCTGCATTGAATAAAGTCTGGCTTTGGGTGCACTGCATCCTTGTATTACATGAAGTATGGAAAATAAAATAAGGAACCTGCTCTCCATGTCGCCCCCTGCTGTCACACTCTCGCCGAACAACAGTGGTGGAAGAAGTACGCACAATCCTATGTGTTAATATATGCAAGTGATTTGCTCGTTTAAATCTTTATACACCGCCGTGTCAACCTATCACATCCTCTAATTCATATTTATACTCATGATGAAATGACTGTAAAATCCTTATATATCGAGTAACCCGAGCTATGAAATAAATGTGGTGGACTGAAATATTTCCCTGTGAAATGTAGTGGAGTAGACATATGAAGTGGCATAAAATTGAAAATCCGAATGAGCTGAAATGGCACCATAGGTTCATTTTCCCCTAATGCCGCACTTTATTTTGGCAGAAATTGGCACTGTTTAAAAGTATTGTAAATTAGGGGTGGGTTTGAGTCGCCTCCGGCTCTTTTCTCTACTCTTTCTCTCTTTTGTTTTGCTCTGAACTGTCACTATATAAAAGGTTAAAATGGATAAATATGTGCTAGGAAAAAATTAGGCATAATTTTAGCAGTCCACACGCTCAATTTAATCCTGTATGAATGTACAAACTACAATACAGAGGGGAAAAACATATATTACAGAATCTAAAGATCACGGATATCCTCATACTCAAAACTACTAAATGTTGTAACTTTGCACCAGGGACTCTTTGTGTTCAGTGTTGACGGTTGTGTCCCAGGTACATCTTAGGAAACATGACAGATGATGCACATGTACAGTAATTTTTATTTAGAGGCCACAGCTCTTGCATATTACAACTGTTGGCTTTCATAAGGCAAAAGCAAGAATGAATCCACCAGCTAATTCACACAGAAAACAGAAAGCGTTTGGGGAGGGTGGGAACCCACGGGCATGCAGCAATGGCTCAGAATGCAATGTACAGCATTTTATATTTATATATATTTATATAATATATACAAAACAACAGTGAGACCCAAACAAATGCCAGACATCTCATTCTACACAATTACAGAACAAAGACGGACCAACTTTTTTTTTTTAATAAAAAAAATTATTTTTGCTCTTTTTCCTTGTAAAAGTGCAACTCAATTAAAATAGAACCTGTTTCAAGGCCTTTTAATGTTGAAATAAAAATAGAATCTCCCGAGTTATCAAAATGGAGCTATGAGAATATTGCATCTCTAGAATACCCACTCGAAGTTCAAGATTCCTGTTGAACCATGTCTAATTCGTAATTGAGATGAGATCACATAGCATTGACACATGATAAAAAAATGCAGGTCTAGACTTACTGTCGATGTTAAGAACAGTGAGTAGACGACGGTTTATCTGTAACAGCCGTAAACAAATACAGAGGTTTTATTTTCAGTTCGAAGCAGTTGGCGTTCACTTAAAAACAGACGAGACAAAGAAAAGGGTCCACACACTCATCATCACGACAATGTACCATTAATGAATGTAGAATACGACAAAGAAGCGCCATATAGGATTGCATTGGACAGGGACACACCTATTAATCTCACTCAACATTGTCAAACAAATGGTTCTCCATATTGCTTAGTAACACATAGAAATGAATTTAGAAATGAATGAATCCAAGATAGGTGCTATCTTTATCATGACACAGCTAAACTGCCAATCATGGTTTTTTTTTTTTAAAACATTTTTATTTTGATTTTCTTCAGTATAAGTACTATTTTTATAGTTAATAGTTCCTTCATAGGCATTTCGAGCTGACAAAGAGGTCCTAGAGTGGCTATCTGAGTTGGTACATGCATCGGTAACCAGGCTAAAGTCAAAAGTGTGAAAGGGAGGGGGTCGGGGTGAGGGAGGGTCTTAGAGGGAGGCCGGGGCTGAAGTCTCGGTGTCTAGTCGTCCTCTTCGTCCTCCTCGTCGCTGTCCTTCATGGAGATGCCTTGCATGCCTCCTTCCCTCACCGAAGCAGCGGCCTCCTCCATGGTCAGCCTGTTGCGCACCGTGTCGTACATCTTACTGTTCAGGGTGGAGTCGAGGACACCCTGCAGGCGGAAGTCCCGGTACTTTTTCTGCAAGAAGACGAATATATGTCACGTGACACACTTCCTGCTGTGTTTGAGACAATTTACTGTACTGAAGAAAAGGTAATTCAGCTCAGTTTAGCACTGATCCCAGATTTAACCTTACCAACAGGATCTGAACATCTAAACCGGCTCAAGAAATGTAAAAGTAGGGTTCCAGACAAGATATTTACTTAACATCTATCAGTAAAGAGGTTAGTTTAAGGTGCTACTACAAAAGAAAGTTGACGTGAGATACATGGAAGTCAGAGAAATAGTGAAACCATGGGCCAGCTTTTGGATCCACGGATAAAGTTTCCAGTTTATCAACACCTTACCTTTGTAATCCTGATGAGGATTTTTAACTGGTAGACGTGGAGCTGCTGATCCATGCGTTCAGTGAGCCAGGTCCCCAGCAGGTTCATGGTGGCAGTGTACCATTGCTGAAACACAAACACAACACTCTCCAGCAAAACACACACCCACACACGTACTAAAGACACCATGACAGAAAACTAACCTTTAAGACGCAGGTATAAAACCAGAACTAAACATGTACATTTCATCATAACATCAGCATTCAGTCACTCGGATTGAAGCTCAGTACAAAGTCTGTATCGCACTTCACAAGAAAGCCATTCTTGCATGAGTCAGAACGAGCAAATAATGCAAGTTAAGAGGTTTTTCGAAAAAGGGGAAATCATGTTCAAAATAAATAAAATCTCACGAGCCACAGAAGTATTACAAGCTACAGAACATGGACGTGCTTCAACTGTTTCTTTTGATCGTAGATTAAAAGATATAATACTCCAACTTTTACAAGTCAGATTGCCTCATCTCTTCATCGCGTGCTTTTAACTCGGAGTTCCGGACAGCATTAAATATAAATCACTGAACCGAAATCAAAGTTAAACTTTGGAAGTTAACGCTGGTGCACTAAAGTGGTGACAACTTCAAACTGTATGGTAAAACATTAGACTTGCTACATTTCTCAAACATTTCTCTCACTTTTTGGGGGTCTCTAATTTGGATGAAAAGATCAAAACTGGTCCAACGTCTTTAGGTAGGATAGCACAACGAATGGGAACGGTGAAACAGCCAGTCTGGCTTTAACAATAGGTAAGTACAATCAAAAAGCTCAAACATAATTAACATTAACATTAATTTTTTTAGGTCTGAGTAAGAGAAACATAAAGCATAAAACATGAAGCAATAAACTGTCTCCTTGCTTTGACTTCATCCATAAGAAATATTCAATTATTGTCACACTAAGGACTAAAAGTGAAAGCAGACCTTACTGAGCTGTGTGCCAAAAACTCAGGATCCACACTGCTCTAAACACTCGGTGTCATGATGTTAAAAGTGAGGAGATATAGTTAATTTGGTTGTCTCAGACACAGATGTGGCTGTGAGCACAGGGTCTCTACCCACCTTATGTCTGTGAGGGGCAACCAATCAGAAGAAAACTGGCTTCAAGGGAGGGTAAAGGGAGCCAAGACAGCTTGGTTTTTAGACAGTGGGTGAATTGAGCGGCTCCACCAAGGGCCATTAAACAACAGAAGATGATTATTCTGAGCAGTAAACCATGAAAAGCTACAGTAACAATATCCAAGAATTAAAATATCATTTTGAAATGAGCAAAATAGGTTCCCTGTCATAGAAATATGCACTTGGGTCATTTTACTAAACAACAGACTTATAGGCTTATCCTAGTGGTCAATAAGACACACAAAAAAACAGAAAAGCTTCTTTGGTGTCAAATCCCCCAACGACACTTCGCACTAAACCAACAGATGGAATCAAATTAAATTCTATGTAATGTTTACTAAAGTAAATGGAAACTGCTTGAATTTCATTTAGTGATCCCAACACACTCAAGGACACAAACAGACACACACGCAGTTCACGTTTCACGTTTACCTTTTACACAAGGAAACTGCATTTATAGTGCTACGAAGAGATGGAAGGAGCAAGTTTGTGGAATTTCCCTGAGTGCACTGATATTACAGCGACTTGAAGGAATTAATTAAAAAGAGGGAAGTCATAACGCATTGAAAAATGTATCTGTCTTGAACTGCAATTACCTTTTCAACTTCTAAAAAATGTTCAAGTCGATATTTTGTAACAGCTGCATGGCCCATCAATTACTGAAGGCAATTACTAAGCCTTTATTTATAATTTATTCAAGTGGAAACGTGGTGCTACGTTTGAAATGCCCTACACTGTGGATAGAAAACTACTATGGGGAATTGAAATTATAGTTTTGACACGGGTACATTAGCAAAAGAAAAATAGAATGAGAGTGAGTAAATGGTTTGCAGGCAGGGAGCAGCGGTGCTGTTTTCTTGTACCTTTTTCTCTCTCGTTTCCTTGGGGTGGCAATTTTCCAGACTGCACCAAAGTTACAAGAGAACAGCACCCATGTTTGATAGAAACGGGCGTCATACCTCCAAAAAAGGTCAACTTTAAACTTGTGAGTAGGCAGGAACGCAGAGAAGCTTTACAAGGCCCGAATTAGAGGTGGAAGGAGTTAGCTTAGTTGGTGTGTTTTTAGTTTTTAGGTTGAGGTTTATTGAGATCAGGATTAGGTGAATGGTTGAAAGGTTTGAACTTGCAGATGCCTGTCCACTTCACAGTCGAGTTGAGCGTGCAGTGCATGCAGACTTCGCGGGTGGGTGGGTGGGCGGCTGAGTACGTGCTAAGGACGACTGCTCTATGTGCAAATGAGGCAGAACTCTGAGGAGGGTCATGCTAGAAGATGTACACAGGAAGATTATTTGACTCTAAAATCATGCCAACCAACATAATGTGATAAAACAAGGCAACGCAACGCTAGAGATAAGTGCCACTTTTTGACTAGAGGAGGCAGCAGGAATGAAGTTAATCAGAAAACAGGAGATTAAAAGGACTGAAATAAATCAGCGTAAGAAAGAGAGATAAAGTAGAGCCTATGCAGCGTCTAGGAACGACTTCCACATGCATGCAAATGAATGAATGGAAATGCATTCAAATCAAAAAGGAAAAAACATTGACGGCTTCGAACTTGCTAAAACTGAAACACTCACAGCTCAAAACAAAACAAAAGTCAATTTCAACACAACGGTGCTGACTAGGATCTCAGTTGGGCACTCTGGGGCCACACGGGAGACACAATGGGGTAAAAAGCTCCACAGTAGAAAAAATTAAGGACACACGGAGACAGGGGAGCCAGTGTGGACCTCAAAGACAAAAGCAAAACCCACTTCACAACAGCATCACTCCTGGCTCCAAATAAAAAAGAAGATTAAAAAAAAAGTCATATTCATCTGGCACAAAAATAGAAAACCATTGTCTGTCAGACATAAAAACGTGACGTCACTGCCTCACAGAAAGAACTGAGAATCTGTCAGACACACAAAGCAATCACGCGCCTGTGGAGACACAGGTCTTTACAAACAGGTTCTAAATGACATGAAGCAGACACATCACAGCATTATGTGTTGTTTGAATCACACATGGAGGACACATTTATGTCAATGTATCCCATTAGGATTATGTTTGGTAAGACAGTGCTCTCTTCCCCCTGTAACACACTGGTTCCCAACAATTCACATCCAAGTCATGCCTTTTTATGAACCCTCATTAGACCTTATACTTTTTTAACCTGCATCATGTTTTCTTCTTAGGTTGCTTTCATTAATGTTTCAAATCCCTGGAGGCAATGGAAACAGCCGTGTGGAAGTTCAGCTGCAGTTTAGCAGCGTGGGAGTTACATAAAACTGACTAAAAATGGCTCGGACCTCAGAATACTAACAATAGAAAGCTAAAGTAGATCTATTAATGCTCCCAGTGCATAAAAGTGTAAACCTGGTCCGAGCAGGTGGAAGTTATTCATCATCTGTTCTCATCATCTGTGTAAAAACAACAATAGAAAAGGAAGAAGGCTTTTGTGCTGTTTTAGGGACTATATTTATATTTGAAAAAGCTTAGTCTTTTGTGCTTTGTCCGGTTTGTTGTTTGTCATGTCTCGTTGCCCTTCGTTTCTCTTTCCCCTCACCCCAATTGTTCGCAGCAGATGGCTGCCCCTCCCTGAGCCTGGCCCTGCTGGAGGTTTGCTTGTGTTAAAAGAGTTTTTTTTTTTATTGTTGTGTTTTTTGCCACTACTATCGCCAAGTGCTTCCTCGCAGAGGATCAGTGGGTTTCTTTGTACATCGATGTAGGGTCTTTACTTTTATATAAAGAGCCTTGTGCTGACTAATGCTGTGATTTGGTGATATATAAATAAGCATGAATTGAATTCATTTTTATTAAAAGATAAAGCGATCGGTAATTGCCTGCAGTTTAATTAAAATATTAATGAGTCAAACATGGATTGTTTCCCAATACCTTATACTCCCGAACTTATAACCCTCTGTTTTTTACTCAGTTTTAGCTTTTTTTTCAAAGCATGTTTTCATTTTGTGTTCATTTTATTCCCTTTTTTACTTTCTCCTGGGGGATGCTTTGAATTGCAATGTTTATTTAAAAGGTGTTACAAAGATAAATTTGCACTTTAGGACTGAAAAGTCTGTTGCAGGTTATCATTTTTACTACCAGTGCATCTATTTTCATCTTTCTCTTGCATTTTATCTAAATGATGAAATGTGGTTTATGCTTACACTGCTGTTCACTCACCTCAGTCTAAGTTGTGCAACAGACTGCTCGGGGTGTAATTAAAAAAAGGGGAGTGTGATGTCTCATTTCTGTTCATATTTATCATCATCGTCATGACTGATCGCATTTTCCTTGGGTGGTTGGGAACCACTGTTCTAACAGATCGAGGGTATTTGCCATGTCAGCCTCTCAGATTGACCCAGGCCCGTCCAGCAGTGCATCATTCACCCAGCGTTTTCATTTCACACACAGAAACTGCACAGGTGCTTCACTGTGGACTGATGACAAAAGGACTGAGTGGATTTTTATTTTCATTCAGGAGGCTGACATGTTTTGTGTGGAAAGCATCTGAAAGCAGAGGACAGTGGTGACTTAAAAAATACAAGAACTCGGTGTCCTGGCGTATGATCAGTATGGACAGTTCTGTTCTTTCCACAGAGAGCACTGCTTTAGATAATCCTTTCTGAGGATGCTTTTATGGACTCTTTGGTAAGTAAAAGTTTGATTTTTTAATACACAAAGGCCCAAAAGCACTGTGGCAATGCACACCAGAATGCAGAGGGCAGCTGAGATTCGGAAAGAAAAGAGACAGAGAGACAGAAAAGTCGAGAAGGGATCAGAAAAGCCTCTTCTTCCAGGCAGAAATACATTTCCTGGTCTCAAAATGGGACTTATCCCTCTCTGCCCTGTTGTTTTGCCACATTTTGGAAGGCCCCTCCCTTTTTGTGAGGAGGAGACGGCATCTTACTTACATCAAATAACCTTTCTATATACACCTCCTCATTGACCTTATCACGAAGCATATCCTGAGAGTGGCGCACAAAGGTCACGTAGCCGTCAGCTACATCCATTCCAGGTTTCTATAAGAACAGACAAAGAATAGGGTCACGACTCAGGAGAAGAGCAAACAAGCGGCTGTACCAATAATTACTGTCTTCAAAAAGGTAGAACAAAATCACTCAGATGATATTTTGTTCAGCTCTTAATGCTCACAAACAAAACAGGAAAGTCGGAGGCTGTTAAACTTACAGGTACATCCACATATTTTGAAGCAGCTTTCACCTGAAAGTCGAAACAAAACCGTCAAACAGTGGCTGAAAGGTGAAATGTTAATTATCGTCAGATTCATTAGGGCTTGGAATATTTTACTATTAAAGATACAAAACTAGAGTTCTTTTACCCTTTTTTAACCCCCCATGAGACAAAAAAGCAGGCTTTCAGGAAATAAATTCACTGGATTTGGTACTAAGTAGTTTTTCAGAATATAAAAGGATTTTTTTTTTAAAGAATAGTTTCAAGGAAAATAAACTGAGGAAAGAAGAAAGAAAAATCTTACCGTGAATGAAAGGAATGAAGAAAAGAGAGTGCCCTCATCATATCTGGAAATTTTGGCCAGCACTCCCTCCAATATGGCAACAAACTGAAAAACGAGAGGAATCATGAACAATCTAATAATCATATTTTTAAAAAGTCAAGTTACATTTTTTTCTATTATTGTTATCAAACTAAGCTGATATTAAGCTGCACCTTTGCGACCAGAAGCTGAATCATGTCCCTCACACTCTCCTCAATCAGCTCGTCTATCTGGGAGTGGAACTGTTTCTGTGGAAAGCAGAAGAATTTCCAACAAAAGCATTCACGTCGGCAAATTAAAAGCACAAAGCCTCATTGTCCAACATGCAATCATTGCCCCAGATGACGTTTTTACCTCTTGGCCCATCTCCATAGCACACAATTTTGCTGATTGGTCCTTGGCGTCCACCATCACGTTGAACATGGTGCATAATGTTGGAGAGATGCGGAAATCTGTGGACTTGCTGCTCTTTGCCAGCTTGGACTCAAATGCCATCCTGGTGCTGCAGTGCAAATTAAAAATGATACACTCTAAAATGAAAATGTGCTGCAGATGTTCATTATGCAGAAAACAAACTCTTTGCATTTTGGAGCTTTTGTGTCTCTCGCAGTTTGTCATCATCTCACGCACAGTCACACAAATACACACCGTTTGACACAGTTCTCGATCATGTTGCTCGACATGAGCTTGATGCGGCTCTCGAGGTGTTTGGCAAACTCCTCCTCAGGCCAGTGCAGGTCCCTGATGAAAGTCTGGAGGGCATCCAGCTTCCAGAAGAGGTCCTCCGATGTCCCGGAGCCATTACTGCCATTGACCCAAACACACATACACAGGTCAGAAGACAAATGTCAACCTGTTTCCTGGGGAGGGTGGGGGGATTAAAGGTTTGGAGGGGGTGGGGGTTGTAGTGGCAGGAGCAGAGGTGGATGCTGTGCCGCTACACTTTTTTTTTTTTTTTTTACACAATTTTGCTCTGGCCATATACTGACTGGTCCACCTACGTGTCTCCTTTCCTGTTTGTTCAGGAGTTTCTGGACAGTCAGTTTATGGGTGAAAAAGGAGTGGGAAGGGTTTACTGTAACAGATCAATAACCATGCTACAGAGTATGATTATTGACTGGTATGTGAAGTGGCCACATGCAGGTAAAGTCACTGCAGATACAGCAGCTAATCACACAAAGGAGTAGGGAATGGAGGAAGTGAGGGAGGGCGTGCAGAAAAAAAAAAAAAAAAAGGCATTTATAGTCAGTGTCCAAAAAACATTTAAAAAAATCTCCAAATTGGCTTCACTCATCACAGGCCCTCTCTCAACATCCATGTCCCCAGGCTGGTGGGACCCCTGGAAGGATTATCAAACAAACCATGCAGACCTTTTTAGGCATCCTGAGTAGAGCTGATTGGGGAAAGTGTTACATTTAGAGTGAGGAAGGAAAGGAGATAAAAACAGAGGCGGAGAGGTTTGAACTCCTGCCTCTAAGCCTCTCCACTTTATCATCTCCACTCCGAGCCGCTCTGTCTGCCCTCCCAATCAGACTACTAGCAGGTGGTTAAGGTCAGAGATGAACCTACGGCCATGTACAATCTACAATTCGCTAAGCATCACTAGAGCAAATGTTTGTGGACAACAACTCTGGGGAGATACACATTTTGTACAATGGAGATCTTGATGTTTCAAATGGGGAACATTTTCTGCACGGTAGAACTCCAATAGCCTTAGAACTACTTTTTTTTTTTTTTGGCTTGATTCGTTTATTTTTTTTTTCAGCCTGTATCTCCACACCTCAGCTCAACAGCATGCATGTTGAGACAAATGAGAGCATTACAGCCTCTCATTTTAGAAAGCACGTCCCCATCTACTCTAACACCTCTCAGTGACCTTGGCATGAACATGAACAGCAATAAGTGGCAAGTATTCACAAAAGAAAACCGATTCAGATTTTGTTGAATTTAAATGTCAGTTTCGACTTCATTTACATTTTTTGCTACAATTTCAAAATTTGGCATATCTTTGTTTATTGTCCTTACTCACAGGCATCTTCATACCAAGGTATCTCTGCTTTCTCAGTAAATCTAAAGTGAACTAGTTGAATACACACTCAGAGTCATATATAGCAGCCATCCATGACGGGGTAGAAAAGCTAGGCATTTGTGGAAGGTTAACTGATAGTCCTGCTACTGGCACTGGCAGATTTGGTACTTTGGGAATTTGGAGGTTCACATTTGGTAGATTCACATTGGGCAGATTACTTGTTAAACTCCTGCAGAAAAGACAGACAAAAAGAAAAAAAAAGAATCCATAACAGTGGCGTGGGAGCTGCAGAAAGCAATGTAACACTCATCATAAAAGTAAAATCTGAAAATATGTGAAGACTGGAACAAAGAGTAATGCACATAAAAGGGACGGTAACTGTCAAAGACTCACATTTTACAAAAATACTCAAGAGTAAAGAGAGCTGGACACACACATAAAGTATTAAATGCAGCGATAGAGACAAGCAAAGTAATACCGAAAACCAAAAAAAATGAACACGAATAAAGACCAAGAAAATACAGGTTACCTTAATACACCTTAAATATAATCTTTGCAATGAAAGGAAAACGTGAAAGCAGACATATTAAAGCCACAACAAATAAAGTAGCAACATAACACACTGGAGGCAATTTTTTTTCTGGTAACACGTCAAAGCACACGTCATGAATGTTAGTTCACACACAGAACAACAGGGATACTATGTTTTGCCCTGACCCCAATGTGTCGGCAAGAATTGGTAAGACACATATATTAATCAAGCACTATTTTCAGAATAACAAACCAATTTCTTCTACAGGATAAAGAGGTTGCTCAGCCCACACTTGGCTCGTTCTTTAAAAGTGAAGCTACAGGAAGCTTGGATGAACATTACAGCTGCGCTACCAGATTTTTCAGCCTCCACACAGTCAGTCAGTCTGTCATCTGCATAAAAAAGCTTTGCATCTCCAGCCATCCTACAGCCTAGCTATAAAGACGGAAGCTCCTTACTTTACAGGCTCCCAGGACTCTCTCTCAAAGCCCTTGTGAATTGATTGTGCGATGGAGGACTCCATCAGATCCACATATCTAACCACCAGAGGAGCATACAGATCTTGAAGATGTTTGTGAAACTTTCCATTGCACAGATGATCTATGATGGGGGAAAAAGCGTGTTACAAAAGGATATCATACTTCTTTTTTTTTTTTTTAGATGAAAATACCTGAAGGTAGCTGAAACATAAAGATGGGCCAACTGCATGAACTTACAATCTGTCCGGAGGAAGTCATTGAGCAGCTGGAAAAGGGGAAAGCTGTCCCAGCTCTCAGGTGACTGGATCTCCAGAGCGGCATCCATGTCGATGGCGTAGAGGGCCAGGAAGTTTTCTGCATGTTCCACCATAAGGTCTGTCCACCATGCAAATGCCTAGAGACACAGCAGGAGGGAAAGCAAACAGGTGAACAAGTCCTCCTGTTAAAAGATGAGAGGGAAATGAGGGAATAATAAACACTACTGGACAGTATCGCTCTTAAAAGGAAATACCACTGGGTTGATGCATGTTTGGTGTGTTGAGAGAATAGTTTGGCATTTCGGCAAATATCCTTACCCTTTCTTGCTGGGACTTGATTTTTCATACTTTGGATGTTACACTTGGATATGAAGCTAAAGTCAGAAGCTGGTTGGCTTTACTTAGTTTAAACACTTGAAACAGAGGGAAGCAGCTAGACTACCAGGGTCTCACAGCACAGGGTAAGAGGCAGGGAACACTCCTGGTTTTTAAGTGGGCTTTTTGTATTACCTACACTAATTGGCAGGTCACACAGTATTCGAATGCACAAGTTTGCTAGCATCACTGTATAACCTAGCGCTTCTCTTTCTCAACCAAGCATTGATGATACATTTCCTGTTATAGTAGAAAACATATAAAGCCGAATGCACCACAGACCTCACTCTCAAATGATGTCAGTAATTGCAAAACCTGCCCGTAGTTATTTGCATTTGTTTATCTGTGATCTGGTTAGCATTTTAAAATCGAGTGTAAACAGAGTTGCCAGAAGACTGATTTACTACCTTTGAGCAGTCCAGCTGCTTCTCTCTGTTATGGGTGTCCATTAGACGTCCCCTGTTATTTAATTTGAGAAGATATTTGGTTATATTTGTGGATTCCGAATGACTTTTCCGTGCCGTATGTGAATTCTGTAATTGCCGGGTATTTCCTTTCAAATGAACAGAAAATCTATCACAGCTGTCAGCTTGTGTGCTTGTGTATGTTTTCCATGGCATACAACTAGATCAAATCCACAGCTCTTCCTAATTGGTACATGAATTCAAATCCAGATTATACTTGGGAGAAGATTTGCACAGTGGGGTTGCATCTTTGTGCCTTCTATTCATGACAGTATCTTTACATCTAGGGTGCTCTTCTCATGCAAACGTGGATCTCCCTGCATGCTTTTCTCTCCAGCTGAGAGATGAGGGGGTCCACCATTCACATCACCAACAAACCCATAGCCCACTAGATGTGAATGTGTCTCATGCACATCACTGTCTAGACACACCAAAGACTGCAGCATACAACATCTCTAGTGTTGGAGTGTGTCTGTTCCAATTAGTTAAGTAGGTGTCTGAGATTCAGCGGATCGTTTTTCTAGCACAGTCAGGACTTTCTCACCCTTTGACAGCAGAGGTACAGTAGTTGCTTTGCTGGCAGTCTTGGCTTGGCTTATTTGCTTATCATTCAGACTAACATATTGCCAAGTTCAATTAATGAAGCTGAATCTTTGCAAGTTATGCTGCATGCTCTACTTTACTGCTGTTTATTGTTACTCGACCACCTTATTTAACCACCACAGCAGCAGTCAGAACCTTACTTACCTCCCTACTTACCTGTCCACTTCAAAGGTTTACAAATCATGATAGCTCTAATGTTAGAAACACAGGCAGCAAACAAGGCTCTTCTCCATCGCATTCAAGGATATATACTCTTATATCAGCTAAAGGGGAGGACAGTAAATAGCTTCCAACAGGGAAGGGGAAAGGCTCAAAGGTCACCAGGCTGAGTAGCCTCCAACCTTTGTTAGTGGTTAAGGAACACATACAGGACCATGAGAAATCTACGGCAGACCCACTGTTCAGCCAAAACAAACTCTAGTGCTGTATCAGTGCAACCATGTCAAGGGACCAGTCTTAAAGGGGGTGTAGTTTGCTTAGGGGAGAGATGTAGAATCATCTACTGGACATGCACAGAGCATTACGGGAGTTTCTCATTCAACTTGACTACATACCTCTTTTCCCTGCTTGGGCAGTCACCAATCATATGACAGTGAGAATACAGGAAGATGTTCAGAACAATAATGTATTTTTGAAGCATTTCTTTGTTAGGGTTTGTAAACTGAGAATAGACAGCAGAGAGGGATGGAAGAGGAGAAGCTGGAGAAGTAATGCTTAAACAGGTGCGGACTGTGAAATTAACTGCTGGATGGAGGGGAAACAAATGTTTATGGAGGATCAAACTTCAAAGGTTCACATGGAGCATACTTTGGGAAATTTACTGGTTCAGCATGCTAGGATAGAAAGGAAACCTCTTTATGGCCCGATGAACATGCTTTATGATAACAATTATGTTGTGCAAGCTAAAGTGTTTTTTTTTTTAAATTTATATTTAAACAGATTTGCTCTCACTTCTGTGCCTACAAACCCACCCACTGAGTTCATTCTCTGTCTAGAAACGTGCTTCTTGCCATAGTGGCGCACATGCCATACAGGAGGGTCGTGATGGGGACTGAAGAGGAAAAAAAGAACAAAAAAAATACTGTACCGATTGATCTCCAGAACTTGTGACTGCCGCCTGTCAAGCATATTCAGAGAGATACAGTAAATCTGCTTTATCTGTATATTCTAAGATCACATTTGGATCACCTTCAGATCTACACAGCTGCACATGTTCATCATGCTTTCCATCAGCTTGATGTCTAAAGTCGCCAACACGATGGAATAAGGAAGCTAGTTGGATTTTTAAAAGGAGATGCCTTCCTTGAATATTGGTTCAGCTTGTTCTCATTCCCAGAGTGCCAAATACTACCATTCTGTCAAAAGCTGCTAATATATTGAGATATGCGCAAGGTGTTGACTGGTGATGACGGTGATGACACTCATATCACAGTTAAACCCACTGGGTAAGTGCAATTTGTCAGTGTGCACAGTTGTAAAGGGGCAAAATCCAAAGTGAGATCTCTTCCTAATTCTAACCGAGTCGATTTTTATGCCTAAATGCTTAAAATGAGTTAGTGAAAAACAAGCAAAACAAAGCGCAAAACACAAATGGCTCACAAACCAAAGTGATTTGCTCCACAAAGACTCCTCCAATCACTTAATGCCAAATTGGTTTCTTTCAAGGAGGATCTGTGGAGGTGTCCTGTATTGCTAGAGCTTGTGTGTCAAGGCACATTTGACAAAGAACAACTTTTGCATATATCTTCAAACATATATAGCAGAATTAGACAGGAGAGCAGTGTTTGACACCCTGGGATGAGAACATGTCCATTAGCTTGTGGTGCTAAACCAAAGCCATACAGATCTAAAGGTAAAACAGTAGCAAAGACTGTGTTTAAGTAAAAAGTTAACTAATGTCAATTTCACCATTTTATTTGGGACAAAAATATGCTAAATGTCAAAACAGCAGTATATCCTTGTTGACTCCATTGGAATAAACTGGTGAAATTAAGACTGACTGAGTTGTTACAGTTTATGCTACCTTATGCCTCCACTAGAACTACATTTGTGACTCCACTAGATTTATTCAACACTACATCTTTTCTTTAAGACTATATTTATTCACATAAAATCCTATTTGAACTTACGACTTAGAATGCTCTGTTTATATTTAAACCCTTACATTTCGGTTTTTTAGGCTTTTGAACCTTTTTGAAATACTTTACATGTGAATTCCCATCTAAACCTCTCAGGTTTCATTTACATGGCTTTCACGATTCCCCCAAGAAAAAGCAAAAACATTATCTGATTTAAATGTGGTGATCTCTCCTTGAAGGCTTTTTACCTGTGCACTTCTGGAAAGCCTTTCACCGCAAATCTCAAACTTGCACTTTTGTGTCAAACTACCTCAACCTGTCGAGACTCATTACTGAGCTGGCTTTTCAGTACAACCCAGAGAAGAAAAAACAGTTTTCAGTGGAAGAGCCAACAGACAACAAGAATGAAGGTGGCTCATCAGGTGAGGAGCGGGACCAAGAGCAGGGCTAGACTGGTAAACTGGCATACCGGGCATTTTCCTGGTGGGCCGACTCACCTTTGGGCCGATGGGGCAACTGAAAGGCCGCTGTACACTGACCCCACAAGCACTGACAGCAGCCCATTCATTCAGCTTCATTACTGCCACTGTATTGCCCAATACAATGTCTTAACTCCCTTCGCCCAAGTAGCTTAGTGTTGATGAGGTAGCGAAAAAGTGGAGCTGAAATGCTGAGACAGAAAAATAGAAATAAATGAAGCAAAATTAACCGACATGTTAGCTGTCGGGGCTGCTGCACCATCAACTCCTCACGGTCACAGGAGGCTGTGACTTCGTAAAAAAGTGCACGAGGAGGGACCGCAGTGAGGGAGACGCCTGGACCAAAAATGCCAGGGCCGATTTTGTGTCCCAGTCCAGCCCTGAGCAGGAGTACGCTTCCTTTTTAAAAATTCACCAGCTTCGAATTCATCCCTCAGAATTTAAATGTTAATGCTTTCGATTGTTGCTCCCCGCTAAGCCAGCTTGCCAGACTTAGGTCCCTGTAACTCTGGCCTCTTCCACAAAATGCAATTCAAACTAAAGGCTTTTGACCATTTTGACACAATGGTGGACTGCAAGGGAGCAATCTAAACATACCAGTGCCTAAAGCGTACAAGGAGACAGCGCTGGAGAAGATAACAGCCATATTTAAATCAGGTAATGTTTTTGTTTTTCATTGGTAGAGTCACAAAACACACTATAATACAGACTATGGCAGTTTAGTATTATTGATAAAAGCATCTAATTTAATTTCACAAAGATCAGTTTTCTTGGGAACAATGAGTTTTACTTACTACTTTAAATTCAGTGTAAGGCCTGAGGTTTATTATAAGTGATCTTGTTGTGTGTGACCAAAGGGAAGCAGCGCAGTAGAAGCCATGAAAATGCGCATTAACTTGTTTCACCTTGTGTTTTTTCTTCCAGCCAAACATCTATACTGGAGTATCCTCAACATTATACTACCGTTTTAAGAACTTATGTAAAACTAATGCACTGTCATCACAGCAAAAAAGATGCCATTGTACCACTTCTGTCTAATTTACAGTCTACCCTCAAACATGGCCCTCTGATTCCATGTGGCGATGGTCTGTTGAACACCAATTAGAGCTTTCCGAAATTAAATTAATCTTTGAAAGTTTTTTCCTTTTTTTTTTTAGTGACCCATAGATGAAAGCAGCTTTATTTATAGAGGATTGTTAATAAGGCTAGCTCCCTGCTGTTGGGCAAGTGAGATAAGAGTGAGAGCATAGAGGGAAAGTGCTTTGAGGAGGAGAGGAGGAGAGGGTTCTCACTCACCTCCGCATGGTGTTCCTGGTTCTGCTGGAGGACCTCTATGACTAACTCCGCCAGGCGAATTGTTTCCTCCAGCTTTTTGGCAGGCGTGACTAAGCGGCCTACGTTCTCTGAGACAAAAGGATGAGGGTGAGGGATGAGTGGTTAGTCAAGCACAGAGGATTCCAGGGGGATTTTTATGACTATTCAAAAGATTTTTTTTCTGTTTATATTTTTGACCGTTTAATAAAAGTATAAACACAGCACTTACGCTGTGATGTTTACCTACCATACCCCCCATAACAAGTAAAGCGTGTTCTTGTTTACTGTGTATGCATTTTGGGCTGCATGACATAAAGCAACAGAGTTGATGCATTTATGGGATAATCAGACTCATGTTGGAGGAGTATCATACACAGGAATAGTGGCGCTGAGATGGAGGTGCAATGCAGCATTGAAAACATGCATATTGTGTAGCGGTACTGAATAAGCCATCTGTATAAGGAGCTGTATCATGGCCAAAAATACTCTGTGAACACGCACAGTAAAAATTATTCATTCCTTCTCTTTGAAGTTATATGATTGGATGAGATTATTAATTCAAAGCTAATAATACTGGATGTCTAATAAGGATCGGGTTCTCTACAAACACTCGTGGCTAGAACTACATGAAAGGGACATTTATACATATTTCTGTAATTCTTTTTTTCTTAAGACCAACAAGTGTATAAGAATCTACTTAAATATATATTATTTTATAAGTAATCTGATCTCAATATAATAATACACTCATTGGCTGGCTCATAGTTTTCTTTGTTAGAACTAATTTTATAAAAAGGCAGGTGCTTGGATCAAATTAATCAAATAGTTGCCAATTATCTGATGAAATTCTTGAAGGTAATGAATATTTTTACAAGTGTGCTGATTTTGGATTTCTCTTAAACTGTGCTTGTGCTCATGAAAGCTGTTCCTCACTTATCAGCTGGTGACTTTGATTAGCAAAAGCTCCAAATCACTTGCTCGTACCTTTGTCGGCAGAACGATCTGATGAAAACAGATATGTGTCATGAAATGGAGTTGTTCTTTAAACACTGTGATTATATGGCATGACATATTTTGAACATGGAACTGAATGGCTACACAGATCTGAAATCAAAAGCACATAAATACATAACTCTACATAAAACAGTAGAAGTCTGCAGTCGGCAGTTCTGACTGGAAGCCTTTTGCTGTTTTCATTATTATTTTAGGGTTCTGCGGGGATTGCTGCTCAAGCCAAATGAATATTTTTTTTGGAGCCTGGTGAAAAATTAAGGAACCCTAAGCTAGCAGTAGAGATTACACTTTCAAATGCCACATAGAGGGAACTGAGCTGTAAAGTAATATTTAAGACTTCTAATAATGCCTGATCACGAGGGTTTGAATGAAATATAATATGGTTTAAAGAGGAGCAAAGTTTTGTTTGTTTTGTTGTTGCTTTTTTATTCCATTGCACATGCGCTCCAAGAGAAAGCCATACAAACTCCACAAAGAATGGCCCTGTCGAGGTTTAAACCCAGGGCCTCCTGACTGGGAGGCAAGGGTGATATTTGGGATGGTTTCAGATGTCTCAAATTTCTTATACTCGAGGTTTTGTGGTTGTCTTTAGCATCTGTGCTACATCTTTGCTTTACTTTACTCCCAGACAAAAATCCCTATAATGCATATCTTTATATAATGAGCTCATTTTCATGTGTGGCCTGTGGTGGAAATGTATGCTAATTTGTGTGATGGGGGGTGGGGGGGTTTGCATTAAAGTGTTGCTTATGTCTTTTTACATTACATTATAATGTAGATAAAAATATAGGACCATATGTAAGAGATTGCATTACTTTATGGTTTTGATGGTCTCTTAACATGTCTACCGAAAAACACACTTGTTCACCTTTATTTAAGTGTGAGTACACTAAATTTGAATGGAGTGGAAATAACATTTTCAGCCGTGTAATTCACTGCTCCAGATTTGAATCTGGAAAAATATAAAGTAGTACAATCTCTACAGATTTACTGTTTTTTTAAGACATGCCAAGACATTTGAGAAGTTGTACAATATTTAAAGTGTGTATAGAAGATGTGCTAATGGTAAATGCATGCATATGTCTTACACTGATTTGCAGTAAACATGTGTGTAAGGTGTGGCTGTATTTGCATATGTAAATGTAAGTGTGCACTATAGCTAAACCATAAGCTAAACATGGGTTCACCTGGATCCTTTTGATCCTTTTGACCTTTCTCAACTTCAGCGAGAAAAAGGGGAGAGAAAAGATAAAAAGGAGATGTTTAGAATTAGCACGGCTCTATGGTTATTTTCACGAAAGGGGATGGGGGCTTGGGGGAACTCAGGCTTGTTGTTCATCGCCACGTGACCCTTTAAATGAATCTGCTGGGACACTTTCAGCTCCAGGGACTGACGCTTCTAGGCAACAGACAAACGTCACAAACACACAATAAAAAATAGAAACACTGAAACAGTAGCCTGTGGAAAATTTAAAAAAAAAAAAGTGATAAGATGTTTTTTTTGTTAACAAACAGACAAAGCTTCGACTATTGCAGACAGGTAGGGGACACAAACAGCTTAAAGGACCGTAGACAGGACACGCTGAGTGACTTGAGTTGACCTGAGTCAAGTTAAAACACAAACTGGAGCTGTTACATCCATACACCCTATCCTGTTGTTCCCATTCAATAGCTCTATTAACAGATGCTCTTTCACTGTCACTGGAGACACGGTGACAAACAAGCCTACCTGTTCGGCACAGCACACCACTGACACATGATCAGACCAAATGACTGAAAACAGATACCAATGTAAGCAATATAAAAATGCATTCAAGTCAAAGGAATGGGCTTCAAACCAAAAGAAAGAAGCTTACAGACCAGACCGCTCATTCATGTCCATCACAAACAGATGGTGCAAAAAAATGGACCCCTACTGATTCTGTGTGGTACTGCTCAGATCTCTCGACTGGTGCACTCCCCACTCACTCTCACAGACAAAGGCACAGATAAAAACAAGCATGGCAGGAGCAACATTTCTGGAGAAAGAGAAGAGGCAGAAGGGAGGGGATGAGGTGAAGGTGCGCTTAAAAGAATGAGGGGGGGGAGGGGGGGATGGGAAGAGATGATGAAGGTACTCACGGATGGTTAAATCCATCACTTGAGATGCCAAGCAGAAGACAGGGTGCTCAAACATTTCCCTCTTTTTCCCTATAAAAAAGGATCGGGGCATGCAAAAGGATGGGGTCAGAAGGGGGAAGTCTAGAGGTCAGAGGGTGATGGGAAGAGGGCTGTCCAGGTGAAGGAGACAATCTGTTGGGCAGGAGGCCCAATAATAAGGTCAAATCGTTGGTAAAATTTGAATCAGATGCCTCACAAGGACAGGTGGAAATAAATTCACACAGCATGAAAAGATAGTAAGGTTTCAATCCTTAGTATCTTTAGCACCCTGAGGGATTTCTTTCAAGGCATAAACAACATCAGAGATCTCTATGTAAATGTGCATGTCAGTGCAACTGGTATGTTGAAAAATAGACACAGCAAGAGGAAGAAATAAGACATCCTAAAATGTCTTTATGTATTTTTTCATATGTAATCCATGCCAGTAAAGAAAGGCCGTGTTATGTCTCAAAGCACATGCAAGGCTGATGCTGGTTTGTATGCATTCAATCCCAGCATTCCTTTGGTTAGAAGCCACTCATCACATAGTATAGAGGTTAGAAAAAGTGATATCTGTGTGGAGAGGGGGGAAAAAAGCAGAGCAGACAGGGGAGGGAGCAGAAGATAGTGGTCTTCAGCAAGAGCATAAGACACAGTTGACAGGAGAGCTGCTGGTATTTCAAGGCAGGGAGTGTAAAGAGGGGCGGGCAGAGTCAGCTGGAGGTATCAGAGAGGTTGGAGCTAACAGTAAGATAGTGGAAGAGAGGGAGTGTGTGTCGACTGGGAGCTGGGAGTCATTTAAGCTGAACTTACAATCCAATCATCAAATGTCAGAAGCCGGGATACTACACAGCTCGAATAGTCAAGGCACAAAGAGAGATCGGCACATCAACAGATTTCAGGGCTTTGGATTTGAATGCATTTTTACTCACACACCTCTACACAAAAGCCAACTTGACCTACAGAACAGCACAGAGCTAAAGCAGGCCTGAAACAAAGGAGAGAGTTATTGGACTGAGAGACAGAAAGTGACTGTGACAAATCATTTGCCACAAATCATTTGGGATATGGACACAAATATACCATATACCAAGTGAATTTACCATGTGTAAATTAATTGATAACATGACAGGCAGTCTTACAGAAGAAAAAGAACATATGGAGATATACTGATTGTTCACTCTGTCGTTTTCTACCAAACCACTGACTGGGCACTTCAATCTGAGTCTGTAAAACATGACATCTTCATGATCAGTAGGAATGTTTAGCATAGCATTTGTACCCTGATCCCAGCAGTCATTATGTGACAGTGAATTGTGTTGTTCTGGTTACCTTCAATTTTAGCATAGTCTTTAATCCGCTGGTAGTTGAGCTGAGCAGCCTGCTCCAAACATTTGCGAATTACCCCTTTAACTTCTTCTGGTGGAACCGGGGTCACAATGTCCTTCATCAGGACCTGCAGGCCACATTGAAGATGACTCACAGAAACTCAATATTTCAGAGGGCACCTTTTTCATTGTTCATAAAACGTTTTTATTTAAGCATTTACTAACCCTCTCCAGCAAAGATAAAGTGGCCTTCAGTGCACCCTCTGGACGACCGAAGGGGAAACAATATCTACAAGGGAAGACCGCAGATTTAATAACAGAGAAAAATACCAATAACCGGGATGTTTTGTGACTTGGTGTAATCTGGTTTTAGTGAGGCGGCAATCACCTGAAATTTACAATCCGGTTTTCCAATATCACACGCAACCGCTCCTTGATGTCTTCAAAGCGCTCCTTCTCATCCACTGTCACTGTAGTCAGCCCGTCTGGCCTATGAAGATTGCACCCACAAACGTTAACCCAGCTGCAACCCCAAAGTCCAACATATATAACCCCTTATCTAAACCCCCAAATCTCTGGTTAACAGCTTTCATACCCCAGGGAACTGATTGAGTGATTTTTTTTTTCTTTTTCTTGAGTTCCCTCCAGTGTTACACATTGAAAAAATGACCATGTCTCACCTGTTTTCACCTTGAATCAGTGGATTTTTGGACTCCTTTTTCTTTCTAAACTTGAATATGCATGCTCGTTTAGAGGCAGCACGGGGATCTGGGCTTTGGGAGCTCTTTGGGGATTTTAGGACCTCATAGCCCAGTGGGCCCCAGTAACTGATGCCCTCTCTGACTTTAACAGATGCATGGGAGGATGAATAATATGGACAGTAAGAGACTATGGCAACAAAGGACAGAGAGAAAAGAAAAAAAAAAACAAAGAAAGTGGTAGAAAACAAGGAAATATGTAGAGATACGCAATTGATTAACAACATAACATGAAATACAGAAAGAAAGGCCAAAAAAATGTAACCGCAACAACATAAAAAATTAAGAAAACATAAACATGACGAAAATAATTTGATGGAAACAAAACCTTTCCGTCTGATCTTATCCTGTGTTAATGCGTCTTTAATTTTCTCAACTACTGCATCCATAGGAGGCATAGCTTTGCCTGACAAAGTGTAATTTGTTACAAATGAAGGTTGAAAGTCACAAAATGTAAATATGTTTATAAATGTCATAATGTTTCATAAAGAAGGACTTAGCGCACACCTGTTCCCATGGACATGGGAGGCACAAAAAGCGAAGCTGTAGTGAAGAAGTGTGGGGTCGATAATGGCCCCATTTTCTGCCCTTTCCAGGAGATCACGCAGGTAACACAGGTGTCTGTGACAACCTCGAACTCCGTTCCTTGCGCAGTACTCATCCAAGACAAACACCTGGCCCGGGCTGAACCATCCCTACACCACACAAACACAGACGCACAGTGTACTACTTGATAACAACTGACTAAAGAGCACCCACTGTCATTCATGCGACAACGAGCGGAAACAAACTCACCAGGCAGCAGAAGGTGTCGTTGAGCCTGTGGTCCAACGTGAGTCGCTGCATCATCTCAAAAAGCGTGGCGTGGTCAAAGCTACAGGGGTTAGCGGAGATAAATTCATCCATGCCATGTTTCTGAGCTCTGTCAGCGTCTATCCGGCCAACGGCACAGGGAAAAGCACACGGTTCAGAGGAGACGACATCAGTGAGGCACAGGGCAACAGCAAGTCTTCATTACAACACGAGAAACACCAGGGAGGCTTTTTTTTGGGGCTACTTCTAAGGGCAAATTATAAACACTTACAGCTTACATTGTCAACTTGCATTGTGTCAGATAGCGTAAAGAGTTTTCTTGTATTGGTGGATGAGATTCTATCAAACTGAAGCTAAACTCAGAGGGACGGGTGCTTCTACTGTATGTGCATTCATGCATCTAATGTTTTGCAGGGGAAAAAAATCCTAAAAGAGCCAAAAGGTGTTTGAATGAAATGCTGTAAATAATATGTAAAAAAAAAAATTAGATCCATTCTTCTTTATGTGTTCAATAGATTCTGCCATTCGCGACTGTTGTCACTCAGGTCCTGATAAATATTGACACGTGTGCTAATAAAAAAGGCACAAATATGGCAAAGGAGAAATCATTTGAACATGCTGTAAAAAAACCAGTTCTAACAAAAGAAAAAAAAGTTATTTTGAGAAATAAATTCTTAAGATTTGCAGATTTCTCTCTGAATATGGATCCTGAACCTCTACTCGAGCTCTATTGGGGTTTTAATGTTTATCTTGCTACAGTGCTTTTGCCACTAACCTTCTCTGTAACAAGAGGACTTTTCAAAATGTTAAACCTGCTCCCTAAATGAAGAAAGACATTAGTAACATTAAACAATGACAAAATGAAAAACATGGAATGGAAGTAATGTAAAAATGGGTGTTGAAACCATTAGTGGGATCATCTTTTTTTTCTACCCTCTAAACCAAAACAGTCATTTCTTGTTCTGCAAATATTAAAGCTGTCAAAGAGAAAAATGGAAAAAATGATGGGGACGAAGATGTTTCAAAATAGATAAGAGGCACAGCCATGTCCTCTGTGTGAGTGACAGGTGTCATGTCCGAGAGACACTGACATGAGTGATGATGATTTTGGGGGGGTGGGTGAGGGAAGCGGAGACCTGATCGTGGTAGGGCAGGAAAATATTGAATAAAGCACAAGTGACATCTATCAACCTCCAGGTCAGTGAAGGGGAAAGAGGGGAAGGGTTTAATGTGGGTGCTAAAACTTAGCTGAAGTTTGCCAAAAAAGGAACCTGAAGGAAGGTACATTTTAGCAAATTTTTACTCCAATCTGAGAAAGAAAACCTGTAAGACAACAAGTAAAATGTGGACAATAAAACAGGGAAACAGAGCGAAGAGGAGAGGAGGGACAAGACAGGTACAGTAAGTTATCATGTATGAAGGTAACGCTATGAAAGAAGACAGTGAACGGCGTTACAGATGAGTGGAGCGTTGGTTAAGAGATGATGACAGGATGAAAAAGGATCTGGTTGGTCGGAAAATCTTTCAATTTGACAATAACATGGTGGAAAGTGGTGACAAAGAAAACACTGTGGGAGACATCAAAAAGGAAGTGAGGTGTTGAGAAAACATCCAAAGAGTGAGCACAAGGTGTCTGGTGTTGAACTATGAGACACAGAGAGTGGGCTACATTTCCTTTAGTTGGAATAAAAATGGAGTTTAAGTCCAGAAAACACTCAATGCTATAGTAACATTACTATAACTCTCAAGATAAAATAATCAAATTGCCAAAGTAAATATGAGAGTACTTTTGCATACATTTATAAATGATTACATGCTGGAGAACAGTGTGACTTTTCGTAAAGCTTTTAATTATGTCATGCACATCTGCAGACCCATTTTCAAATTTGCAATTTTGATCATTTTTTTTATGCATTCCTCTTTTTTTTCCCTTCTCTACGCATTTGCAAGTTGACAATACTTGAATATGTTGCAGTGTATTCATGATCTCTACAGAGCACACTAACAGGCATACCACTACCGGAGAACTCTAATAGGGTAGCAATACAATTTTGGTGCAAGTACATGGGTAAATAGCATGAAGCCGACAGAGGCAAAACTGTATCATTCTCTGGGAGATGGGGGAAATGAATGAAAACTCCTGTATTTGTACAAAAGTATGGACACATGACACAGGTGTTCTCCTATTCAGGCAAACAAGGGCAGTCAAAAGAAATCAAATGAGATTGCTCCTTTCTGGAGGTGTAGCTACCGGTCTAGCCTCTATCTACAGGCCCATCTACTGTAGGAGGGAGTGGGAGTCCGGAGTATTTTATCATAAGACGGGGCGGCATTAGCTACTCCTTGTCTTTGGCATTCAGAATACTCCGCGTACATATTTGCCAACTCTCGTCAAGAAAAGTTCAAAGAAAAAGAATTAAAAGCAATTGAGCCCTCTGAAGTAAAGCATAATTAACATAAACACTTTGGGGAAACAACTGCATACACAGGCTGTCATCGTAATTTATCCATATCTCTATCTTTAAAGAAACACATGTAAACATTAGTCTTTTACAGTTTAATCTGTGAATCGGGTTGTTTGCAGCTCTTGGTTTGATAAGACATTTACAAGAAATATTCTTGGTAATACAAAACTATGAAATCATTTCTTTGTCGCATTTTAGCCTGATATCGCTTTACTCTGAGGGGTCCTTCCACCAATAAGAATAAAGAGAGAAGGCAATTATGCAGAAACAACTATGATATCAACTTTAACTATTACTGAGCCAAATAATAATTCCTTAGAATAAAATACATGCATCCTATATTGGCACGAATGGATGCTTATACTTTCATCCTCAGAGCTGAGGTTGTTAAAAACAAAAAGTCATCAACTAATATCTAAGACATGAAGCGAGACGTGAAAAAAAAGGAGAAGAAGGAAAGAAGAGAGAAAAGGACGTTGCATTTGTCAGATAATCGGCGGGGATTATCTGAGCTGTGCCGGCTACAGGGAAGCACTTACCCTTGAGTCCAGCTAGAAGACAGCAGGGTAAGAAGGGACAAACCAGAATAACATAAAGACTAGCAACAAGGCTGGAGGAGAGCAATCACGAGAGACCCTGACCTAGCAGCTGCATTACTTAAGAAGGGTCCAGGCAAAGCATGAAGAAGAAAACACAACTCAAAAACAACAACCTATACCAACATGATAGTTTGTGGGTGGTGGTGTGTGAGTACATGTGAGGATATGTGAACAACAGATGCTGAGGCATATTAGAGAAAGGAAGAGGGAGACAGAAAGCAAGAGAGAGCAAGAGAGAGAGACAGACAGACAGAGACAGAGGAAGGAGACAGAGCTTACGATCCTCATCACTCTACTGCAGTTTACTCTTGGTTATGGACAGCTACTTAAAGAGTTGAGAGCTACACAGTAAGTACTGTCCCTTTGTTTGATTAGAGAGCAAGCACAAGGCTTAAAAGGGACACTGGCAAACACAAACACCTATATTATAAAGGAAACTCTAAAAGGTGGCCCGAATCGTTTTTAGAAGAAAAAGAGACTATGAAGGTGCTGGTTGAAATGAAGGTCAGGTTTTTATCACCAACCTCTTACAATTATAGCAACAAATTTAAGCACACTTAAAGGTGCACTCTACTCGTTTTGCAAGTAATTGTTGTCACTACTGCACTTTACTGTCTGATTCTAATTGCCTTTTGTTGCGCTTGATATTTCCGCTATAGCCAGAAATAGAAGCTTTTTCTTCAATTTCCACAAGTCCATCTGTTTTTGAACAAAAAAAAAACAAAAAACGCACCGAGTCAATAGAAACGCCTCACGAGAGAAATTGTCTTCTGTGTTCTGGAGGAGCTGAGTCAGGTCAAGAAAACAACCCTTTTAATATTACAGTCAAGGACAGAACACAAGATATGGGGTTTTCTTTTTTAAATAAAGGCTTTTGATCGGATGTCCTCACACTCTATCATATTTATTTGCAGTATTATGTCAGAAATCTGTTGCACAGACTAAACCTGTGTTGTTTAACATTTTATGTGATGTGCACTAAAGCTGCAGAACCTTCATAGCACTCTTCTTTTCCATCCTTTCACTGCAGCAGAGTCAGGAGGGCTGTGTATGTTATGGTCCCAGTGCCATTCAAGACCACCAGGGGGTGAAACATGTACGCGTGGTGTGCCACAATGTTTCAGGGAGGGGAAGGAGGTCTGTGCCACTGTGAGAGGCTTTGAATGGCAACAGCTGGCATCAGAGGAGTCAACTAACCACAAGAACGATCACATACTGGACAAAAAAACCGATGGAGAAACAACATAGAATCTCATGTGACAGGATTTGCATTGAGTGACCCAATTCATGTCTTCTGATACTTTTATAAAAGAGTGGAGTAAACTTGGGGCTTTGCACTTTTGAATAGTATTATTGCGACCCTGAGGTTTTTTTTTTTTTTTGTATTTGTATTTCAAGCCAATTAAATTTACATAATTATTCTAAGAAAAAAAAAAATCTCATTACAATTGAAAAAGAAATTATTCTCAGCCCAAAGAGTCAAAAGATGCACACAAAAAAGTCGTGTTTGGTTCTGAATAGCAGGATCTATTATTGTGAATTGTTAAGCAGCATGTGACTTTACATTTAGTAAGTAAATAAGCTTTGTGTTAGTGTTCTCATGGGCAAATTTAAGGTAGTTTAAACCTTTGCACAAGAATAATAAGAACTTACTGATTATGACTCACTGCATATTAGTAACCACTTGAATAAATACAGATGTTGCTTCTAGATTTTATAGTTAGAAAAAATATATATTTTTCCCTTCTTTAATGAGGAGGGAGGGGACATAAGAGACGGTCAGAATAGAAGGTGATAGAGATGCCACACTACTGTAGACAGTCTTACCTTCACTTTGCTACCTGACCTGTGGACTGCTTAGAAGTGCAAGTACAGTGACAAATTGGTTAAAATTTTCAACATGAGGACCATCTGAGAAACTGTCTCAGAATAACAGCTGCCCTCACAGCAGCCATCTAGAGTTGGCAACTGTATTAAAACAGGGCTATGGTTCGGACAAGAGCAGCACACCCTGGCACTGTCAGTCTGAATTCAACCCCAGTAGGCTTGAATGTTCAAATCTTATGTATGGTGACCTATTTAATCTTCATAAAATCTTTGCACGCCATGGCCTACTTCTGTATGATAAGGTCTTTTTTAGGTTGGTTGTTCCTTGAGAACAGACTGATGAAATAGCATGGAATCGCACCTTTACACACTGTGGGAGTGGTGACAATGAGTGGAAGTCCATCAGATGCTGGAGGGATCTGTGAGAGATAAATGCATGTGCGTGCGTGCCTGTGTGTTAGTTCTATCAGCACGTATTGTGACTGCAGTGTGGAGCGCATGGCGTGAGACAGTTATGGGTTAGAGCTTTCGCTGCTTTGTGGATGAAAACTGCTATTGCTTGGGTGATTATGTTGTGTTTTGGGCTACTTACAGAACTGAGAAATGGGAGCATCCATTTGGGCTGAGGCACCCCCTTTGGAATTTAGTTTCTGGACCTGAGTGGGTGGGACAGGCTTATGGGACTGGCCAGTGGCGCGATACATGGCCTGGACCCACAGGATGCGGTCCTGCTCGTCGTCGCTGGCAAAGATCACAGTGTCGCCTTCCTTCACAGCATTGAAGAAAGCCCTGCCACCATCTAAGCCTAATAACGCAAAGCTGGGGATCAGCTGGTAGATATTTACATTGTGTGTGTCATTTGTTTATGTGTGTGTGAGTATAGGTATGTCCCGGTGTGAATCCTCACCTGGCTGGGGATCACTGTAGTCCACAGTATATCCGTCCAGCTGCAAAAGCTCTTGTGGTTCTGACTTTTTCTCTCGGTAGCTGCACATTGCAAACGTATACTGACTCACCTGTAAAAAGAAAAAAGTTGCAGTCAAATCAGTCACAAATAAAATCATTCTATGTAAATCTTTAAGCTAGTGATTCTCAAACTGTGACTAGGCCAAACTAGTGGGGAATAAGACCAAATAAACTACTATTTAATTGTTATTAGCGGTTAAAAAATGTGGGATGTAGGATGTTAAAGCTTTTTGGGTTGTAAACTGGGACATGCTAGTTTTATATAAAACAACGACACGGACTCCTGAGTGACATGTGCTCTATATTGATTTGGTAGGCTTACAGGAAGCTTTAAGCCAAAACCTGAAACACTGCAATGATCTTAAAAACATGTTTTGTTTTTTACCTGCACGAGGACAAAGAAACGCTTCTTCCAGCGCTTCCAAACATTCTTCCCAAAAGCCCACAGATACCTGTTCACACATGATGACAGAACACAGTAAAGCTGTCATAAAGAACACAAATGCTAACTCCATCTGAAGCACTGAAGCAAAGTTTTTTATATTTGATCTTAAGTTATGTGGATTTGCTACAAAATAACGAAAAAATAGAAATAAGAAGTTGATCCAAATTCTTAAGAAGTACACTTTAACTGTTACATGAATAACATGTGATTAATGCCAAACGCTTTGCATGTGTTAGCGTCTTCTACAAATGATTAAATTAAACTACACATTGGCATCCACCAGGGGGAGTAATGCACTTCACAGTACTTTTCCATGGTAGGTGAGTAGAAATGAGGCCAAGGAGCTCAGAGTTGGAGTTCTATAGGAAAGATGTGGAATATTAAAAATAAGAACACCACTGCACGTGTTGCTTGACAGTGGATCGCTTACCCGCAGTGTTTCATGTTCTGTGGTTTGTCCATACGTATGGCCAGTTTGATCTTGAGATCTTGGTCAGGGCAGGCCTTGGTCACAGTCATTTTGTGGAGTTCTGACTGTTTGGGGCTGTTAGGAGTTGGGTGGAGGACAACCTGCACTCACAGAAAAGCAGATCATTAAATACAAGAAATTATACATGACCAGGTGGTAAATCTTTAATCTGTACAACACTGAGCAGTGTCAATCAGTCTGCTTGCATGCATTAGTGATTTTGTGTGTTTGCTTTTCAAAAGAAATTTTAAAAAAAAGGTAGTGAGGAAGAAGAACTGTGCTTTGCTCTCCCTCCCCGAAGAGGGGGGTCTAATCTCTCTTTGCTGAGTTAAAGAGCTTTGAGGAAGCCTGCCAACTCTGCTGCAGTGGGAGATCAAAGAACCAAGGTCACTGCCACTACAGGGACGTCTGAGGCGCCGCTGCCCCGACGCAAACCAGCAACACCACCTTCTTTAACTACCTGTCACATTTACACGACAGGAAAAAGCAGGGTAAAGAAGCGATTCATGTTTCTGCTTTGTTCACGTTTGAGTCATGTTTGAGTAATGCTCAAAGGCTGGAAGTCTCTTGTTAGGAATGAGGCAAGAATTTTTTATCAGTCTACTCTTAACAGATGTGCAGCAGTCAAATTCAGATACAGCACAATGTGAAAATTTCAAAATGTGAGAGCCGTTTGTACTTTCAAAAGAGCTCATGGAAAAATAAAAAAAGTTAAAAAAAAAATACTGGAACTAGAGCAAAATAACAAAACCCTATTTATAAATCGCAGTCATGTGACGGGACCCTGGAGACTCTTTTGAGCGTATTACAATCAGAATGATGCACAGCTACATAAATAAAACTGCTTTGAGTGACTGTGCATGTATTTCTACAATCAAAACACAAGTTTGCAATATTTTCATCGCTATGTCAACATCAGAGTGTTAGTGCGCTAATAAAATAATACGCAGAAATGTACCCGGCCCAGTTCTTTGTCTTCCAGCGCCAGCACCCCTGTACTCTCTGTAAACAGCTTCACCTTGACAGCAGGCAAAGGGTGTGTAGTGGTGAAGTCACCTTGGGTCCCCCAGCTGAAACAGACAACAAAAAGCACTCCAGAGGTTAGTTTCCATGACACCACGATAAGTCCGTGTTCCCATCAATTGTCATTTTTAATTGCTAGTCAGTCTGGGAGACAGATTTCACCTTAGTTGCAGTATTTTATATGTAAATTACACCGAAAATGTCAGTAAACAATTTCAAATTAAAATCAAACCGTTTTCAGATGCTTTTTGCTTTAGTCAAATAAATTCAGCTTAGCCTCCTGGGACTGAAGCATACAATGCAATGTTTATGCACACAAACACTCCAATCTTTTGTATCACAGGAGGAAGATAGAGGTGGTCTGATTGAAGAAATTAAAAAAAACAAGGATTATGGCAAAGTCGCATGAACTTACAGTAAGTCAAAGTCAGGATAAAACAAACAAGATAGCAGACGCAATTTATTTGTTCTGACGGTTGTTCTCTGTCAGCAGTAAATAAATAAACAGTCAGAGACCAGAGGATAGTCAAAATCAATGTATCTTTTCTACTTGATTTTTGTGACTCAAAAGTAAGACGCTTAAAATCTATATAGAGACAAACTGCAACTGCAATATTTTTGGTACTGAAGATTTCTCGAGTCGATTTGTAGTCTGTTTATATTGTGAGAAGTATCAATTTATCAGTTGCAGCCGAGTGGTCCACGTGGAGAGCAAAACAGGAACTTCTAGCTGTCTTTAAAAAAACAAAACAAAACTTGTCCTCGTTCATATTTGTATTGTAAATAATTCATCCACGGGAGGGATTGGAGCCAAAGAGAGGCAGTAAACACTCTAGACAAGTTGTGAATCAATCTATAGTCCATCAAGACTTGTTCCAGCCAGACTGGAATAGTCTAGTCACAATGAAAGTTGCATACTTGAAACACAAAAAGAAAGAAAGAAAGAAAGAAAGAAAGAAAGAAAACACACTTTAATTTACTTCAGTATCTACTGGTATCAAAGGTGTCATTTAGTTATTACCATTTCTACCAGGACAGTAAGTAAACTGACTACATATTAGCCTTAGACACTGAAATCATGTGATTTCCAGCATTCTCCACGTTTCATGGGTGTGCAACATTTGCAAAATGTGCACAGCAGCCAGGCAAATAATTTCACACACACTTGCAGCCATCGCAGCCACACACTAACATGCCATTAGTGTAGTAGCTACTCACTGTAAGTGAAGACACAAAGTTCACCAAAGTAAACTGCAAAGGAATCACCAGACAAACATTTGTAACAACAAACCTAATTAGACCCTTAAATCACCCTCACCCAGCTGAACAAGGACATTTTAAAGAAGCAACAAAGGCAAAGGGGCTTCAGCAATCCAGAGCTTATAGGCAGCCATGAGCCAGCACCCTCAGTGTGAGCAGTACAAGGATCAAAGCAGTTTCAAGGTATCTGCTGATACTTATACACATACTGGAAAATTATGTAAGTGTCTGACATCTGTTTTGTTAAATAAATTCATTGCTCCTGCTATTGTTTGCTAAGCTAAAATATGTGAGATAAAGGTGGCTGTACAGCAACTCATCTTCATTTAATAGAATAAAATAGAGCAGAATAGAATAGAATAGGATTTTATTAATCTCTTGGGGGAGTCCCCTCAGGGACATCTTTCCCAAAGCATAGCACTATATTTTCAGTTGTTTTATTGAGAAAATAATTTATTGCATTAAGAAAAAGTAGATGTTGTTTTGTATATGTTGTCATTTACAGCAAAGAAAGGCAAAAATGACTATTGACAGGTCCCAACTTTCCTAATTGACACTTAGGAAAGTTGGGAATCGGCCAAGAAAATATCCTAATACAAAGAGTGTTTTAAAACAGTAAGTATAGTTGAGGTTAACGCAACGCACTACATCTTAGTATATATATCTATATATGTAGTTTCCCATGTAGGCTTAAAACTCATTACTATCTGCAAATATGTTCAATTTACTAGCAAAGCACCATTTATCAATAGACTATGTAAGATCTAGGTCTGAGACTGTGCTTAGGAAAAGGCCTCACTGGTCAGATACCCCTGGTACCAAACTGAGAAAGAAAGAAACAGGTTGAGGCAGGTTGGGGTAAATGAAAAGAGATATACATGTAAGTATGAATCTATTTCTGAACTTCTAAGTAACTATATCCAACTAAAACTGGTTAGTGTTGTGCATATATGCCCTAGAAGCCTACAGATGGATGTCCGGGTGTTGGAGGATCTGAAATAGCAGGAAGCAGTCCAGAGCGGCAAAAGCAGCTTGAAGCGATGTGGGATTTTGCAGTGTTACTGTGAGGGTGTGTTTGGTACAGTATATGATGTGAGGAGTGAGAGTGAAGTCTTACAGCTTAGTTCTGAAATAGCTCAGAGCTTTTGCTTCATTAGATATCTGTCAGTGACTCAACATATTTGCCTTAGGCTATGGCACTAGGATACTTCACCTGTATGTATTGTTTAATATACTAATGTTTTGACACCATGTTTTGACAGGTAAGGTAATGTATGAGACTGTATATCTGATTCTGCAGAATTAGTTTTGAAATGTTTAGTTTAAACTGCCATTCATGAGTGTGGCAATGTTTACAAGAGTGCAAAAATATTAAAATAAGCTATCATTTAACAGCAAGCCATTAATATCAAACTGGAATCTCACCAGCTATGGTATGCACAAGCAAAAAGAATGACAAGAAACTAAGCAGTTTGTTGCAATCATAGGAGACATGTTATCTGTTATCTCTCATTGTCATCTATAGCTGCTAACGTGCCAAAGCTGCCTCATGAAGCTTTAGCAACACAACATGAATGCCACGCTCTAAGTTCTCACTCTGCAGCAAGACACGACAAACATGGTGTCAGTTTCCAGTCTAGAAAAGGATTTTTTCTTGTAAGAATTTCTAACATTCATAATTAATTGCCGCTTTATGTACACAAAGATGTTGCAGACACAGCATGTAGAGGAAGAGAAGAAGAGCTGCTGACCGACAGTTAGGAGTGACTGTGAGCTGTGTTGATTTCAGATGGAACCATTGTACCAGCATGAAGGTGACCTTGTGGCTTATTCTAAGGTCTATTAATGGACGTGCAAGCGCTACCCTCCTACAAAATATGATACAAGTATGTGCTTGCTCAAATGGGTCAAATGAAAAAAATCAGAGTTACAGAATTACGAGAGAATTAAATGAATGTCAAAAACATTTATCGGCTCATCCGAGTTAAATCAGAACCACAATAGTCAGTTGAATGTCAGTCTGAGCACATGGCTGCTGAACACATCCAATTATTGTATGCAAATATCCTGCAGCAGTCTGTACATTAACACATTTATCTCATACAGGTCTTTGCAAGGTTTTTTGTATATACTTGTTTGTACTGCATATAAGCAACTGCACACGGTTGTGTTTTAGTCACTACAATAATTTCTGGGAGGCTTACCCTAACCTAAAAGCGACTTTAATGTGTGGGTTCCTCACAATAGCTGTAAATATCTTTATGTCCCCACAACATATGGAATATACTGGAATACACACGCACACACACACACACACACACACACACACACACACACACACACACATTACCCTTGCCTTGTTCTCCTCTAATCCGTCCCCTCATTCATGTCCTTCCGTCTCTCTTCATAAAATGGCTCTTAAATTAAGGAGATCAGAGGAAGACATTTGGGCCTTAAAATAGCTCAAATTTGCATGAATGTTTCATGGACATTTCTCTTGTATCTTGTACTGTGCAGTACTGGTTAATTAGAGGAAAAAGGGTAGATATATTTAGCAGCAGATATATTTTTCATCACCACCGTCATTGTTGTTAATCGAGTCTAATGAACTGGTAACAAGAAGGGAAGCAACGGAATGATTTAGGTTATGTACAAACTGTGGGGAATTTCACAGAAGGGAACTATGTTATGCCATTTTGTATTTAACATGCTATGGGATTTTTACAACCCTCAACCAGTCAAAAACGTTGGTTTCAGCTGTAGATTATAGCTTACTCCAGCAGCTTTAATAATAAAGATCTGTGCTGTCCCATGAGTCTAGAGATTTACTGTTAAGACAAATGTTCCTTAAACCCACTTGTATTAAAGGTGGAACATGCAGGAGGTTTTATATGTGTAGACTTCTACAAAAGCAACCCCCTCCTCCACCCAGACAAAATCATTACTAACGGGTCACTAGAAGTGTGTGGTCTCTGATACTTTCAGTTCCAATTTAAAATCAAAGAGAAACACAGCATTTCTGCTTTTACTTACTCTGGAAAAATGATGGGATACACAGCTGTGCTTATACACACCTTTGTCCCAACTATACATTATACATGATGATGCTAACATGAATCTATAGCATATATAGTACGCAGATTGAATTTAATATAAATCTAATAAACATAATAATATTATTTGAGTACATCAATAATATAATGAGCTAAAAAATGCCTTGTTGGGAAGCTACTGAACATCGCCCTGATCCATCAACAGAGTGCAGCTGGCAGGTCCACTCACTCCCGACTTCACTCACTCAGTCTGGCTTGAATGACACCACTTAAACAAACTACTGAATACAAAGAAAGATAATCAATAAAAATGAAGAGGAGGTTATTTCTCTGTTTCTTTTGTCTATTTGGGAGTGACAAAAGGAAAAGGCGAAAGAAGAGGAAAAGGAGAAAAAGGTAAGGCAATTCTGAATGGCGCAGATAATAACGAGTAGATAGATAATTTATAACATAGTGAGAATTTTTGCCTAGAGCTCCCACAGACTCTAGACTTGCTGCTGCCCATCAATCCCGATGATTGTCTTCAAAAACATAAGCGGTATGCATCGAAGCATAACGTGAATGCCAGGATACAGCGTTTCCCTGTTCCACTGTTTATTTTCTAAATGTGCAGTCCCCCTCCCCAAGCCAGTACAAGTGTACAGAGTCTGAAGAAGACTTCATCAAAATTGCAAGACAAGCCGGTCTATGTCTCTGCTCTGCATTCACACAAAGTCTAGTTATTGAGAATCTTTTTCACAGGGTTATGTAAAGGTTGTGTGTGCTTTAAAATGACTGCTATGAATAAAAAAATATCAAAAAATAGGTTTAAAAATATATCTCTTGTTCTCGCTATTGATGCTTGCACTTCTCATTCGCTTTCTATCTTCCTCAACTGCTGTTCACTTTCTCTCTCTCTATCTCACTGAACCAGGAACGAAAGCCTAAGTTTGAATGTTGCATTTCTAGATAATACCCCAACAACTGCTGCAAATCATATCATCATCATTAAGTTCAGGTATTTTCCATATATAGGTGTTTGAGATCTGGATTTTCTGCCCTGGTCCAAAAAAAGAAAAAAGGTTTCAAATAAGAAAATAAGCAAACTCATGTTTTGGTAAACTTCACAGTGCTTTTCCATTTCCTTTTAATGCAGTCATTTACATACAAAGTGCCTGTGAAAGAGAATGAGGAACACTAGAGAGAACACCAAGAAGCCACTGGGTTGTGGGAGAGTTTTACAGCATATGTTTAGAGTATTTTTCTCAGAGCCAATTAATTTCTCAAAGTGTGGTTCAGCATGGATCTTACATTACACTTCGTGTTAGCATTACATAGTTTTGATCGCAAAGCTCAATACCACAGATGGCTCATCTAAAGGAAACAACAAAAATCAATTATTAACACTTCATTAACATTCATCTTCCATTAAACCAGAGGTTTGTCTTCAGAGATTCCTCAGTAGGCATCTGTGCCTACGCTCTACTGAGTTACATTATTAAGGTATTTGTCATTCACATATATGCATGTGGAAAACCATGCAGGTGCATGCTACGGCTCTTACGTTGGCTTGGATGCCTCTGCCTGGTCAGTCTGGAGTTTCTCGCCTCCCTCCACCTCCATGGTGCAGTAAACAATCCTGTTTGGAGCCAGTGATTTCAAGCCCTGCACTTCCATGATCACCACCTGGGAAGCATAGACACCTCAGTGGAGGTTACTGATGTAAAGTGATTTATCTCTGAACGGAGTTTAAAAAGTCAGCATCTTATGAGCAGCTAGCAGTTCTAGGCAGTAATTTTTCGAAACAGTATGCCAGCCACAAAGACGATTTTAGCTTACGGCCAGTGCCCTCGTTGTACAAAAATGGAGATTGTAGTTGATTTTTTTCTTTTTTACTGGAACAGGCTGTAATAATTTCAGATTTCCTTCCAGTGAAGTATAACTCTCTATCATCGAAAGTGCTAGTAGGAATAATCTGTCACATCAGGTCTTATATTCACTCTTTAATAACTCTGAACACAATATAGAGATAACACTGCCAGAGGTAACTCTTAAATAGTAACCATGAATTTCAAATGGGAGAGCCAAAGGCAGAAATATGTGCTGGCAAGACAAGAGTTTACTTAGCAAAAGTATTTTTTAACTTTCCTGTATATTATGCTGTTTGTTATCTAGTCATCTTGCAGATTTTGCTTGGGGGTTTGGGGGTGGGGTGGGGTGGTGTGCTCAAAAAAATTAAAGGAACTCTTAGAAAATGCATCAGATCTCAATGAGAGAAATATCATGCTAGATATCTTTACTGATATGGACTGGATAACGTGTTGTGAAGAAAAGGATGCCACATGGTTTGATGAAAATGGAAATGATCAACAAGGGGTTGAATTTAAAAACACCCAATAACCAAAGCCAAAAATGCTGCAGCAGGCTAGTCCATTGTGCTCAAATTTCATTGCAGCATTGCAGCACCAACATGATAGTTTGCATGGCCTAACAACATTGCGGCATGCTCCTAAACAGCAGACGGTGTGCGGCTGGATCTGCTCCGGGATCTGGGATGTGCAATTCTGGAGGAGCTGGACTACCTGTGCAACCTCTACATGGCCCAAGTATCGCCTCATGCTGCCAGTTGTGACACTGGCCTTAATCAAATGCAAAACTAGGAAATAAACTGTAAGAAAACAAGAGGAGGGAAAATATAGTGTCCATCACTTTAATTAACACCAAAGCAGCTGAAACTGATTAACAACCCCCTCTGCTACTTAACTGATCAGATCAATATTCCAGAAATGTAATTGACTTGATGATGTACTCTGATATAATTTTTTTTTGAACGGTGCATGAAAATCTTTCTATGTACTCAACGCAGGGAATCAAGGGACTTGTTGTGTATCACAAGTGATTCCACCTTGAGTTTCTGAAGAGGTGAATTCTTTCAGCGATTGGAAATAAACTTGGTGCTTTACCAAAGACCTATCACAGTGCCACCTCACAAAAACACATACTTCTTTTGCTCCTGTGCAAATAATTTCAGACTTCAATCTCTAGAGTGGTGTGCCAAATTGTTTGTGAGCAAACAGAAAAAGCAGGGTCTTATTCTTCTGCACATTATGTACTTCCTGATTCCAAAATAGCACCGCATCATAAGAAGTGAGGTGCGATTGCTCCCTGTTCCATGGTAATAGCTCATCTCAGACAAGCCGATAACAAGATGACTCACATTTCCCGTTAAGGAGCAGGTAAAAGGGGGTTTTTGTGCGTATGTGTTTATGCCAGTCTGCTCTTCGCACGGCGTCTGTTCAGTCCCCTGAACAGGTCTGCTGTGTGTTTCTATACTTAGTCTCAAGTAGTTGATACAAGTTATTAATTAAAAGTTGTGTTGTAGACAGATGCAGTTTTGCATTTATATGACAGTTGGCTATATGTCAGATATCCATTTCACAATACCATCATCGAGGTGTCTGATTAGTCCTAGACTCATTCTGACATTCATAAATAGCTGGCTCGAAAAGGAAGAAGATACTCTCTGAAAGACACGTCCTTGTATCTAATTCAACAGGCTATTACCTGCTGTATTCTCATATTAGCACAATCAGACGTCACACTGACTTAATAACAAGTAAATTAAAGACTATTTAATGTCAGCTGCATCAGACACTTGTGTTCTCACATGCATCTCCGTAGGGTCTATCCCTAAACCTTTCTAAAAGTCTAGAACGGTTTAAGGATGCAGTGAATGTGTGGAAATAGTTTCTTTTCTGTAAATACTTCTTTTGAGTCCCTAAAACATTTGTACAGTACTCCATCTCAAAACCATCAAAACTTTGTAATGCTTGTGATTTTCACATATTGATCATCACACACTTATATCTAGTATCTAATTACCTCTAAAGTAAAGGACAGGACCACATCAGATTTGGACAGCGTGTTCTCATCCTCTTGGCCCATATCAATGATAGAGGTATTGTGTCCCCGCTTCAGCTTCTGGAGTTTAAACTCCCCGCCCTTAGACACAGGCATGCTCTCCAAGTTGGCCATCAGCTGATTCACTGAAGACTTGAGTTCCTCGATGAACATGGCCTCCATCTCTTTAGATACAAATTTGGGGAACTTTCCACCCTGTTGACAAAAATATAAAAAGGCTCAGAAGAGAACTACAAGTCGGGTAAAATAAAAATGATAAAAAATATCAAAGAAAGGTTCATTTACCTCAGTTTAATTAGTTTCCTATAGCAATGCTAATTATGTGTAAAGTAAATACAGTAACATTTGTAAATACGGCCCATACACTACTCTCTTCCACTACGATGTTTATAAAAGTTACACCATATTGGCAACATATTAACTATATAACAAAGCATGAATTCCCCCGCTGAGTCTGACTCACTCTGGCAATCTGGTCTGCCATCTGAAGACGACCATCCAGCTCTCGTCTGATCTGTGCAGCCTGCTCATCCAGGTTGTCCAGCTATTGGTAACCAGAGAAAAGCAAGTCAGTTGAATCCCACTAGGTACTGCAATGCTTTAAATGTGAAATATTATCATTATTATTACTGTTAATAATGACTTGTTTAGGTTGCATAGGAATATAGGTATTTAGCCAGTTTTGTTGGAATGTCATGGCAACTGACGAGGTGCACGTACGCTCATGAGGAACCAGACAGGACCTGCACGGCATATTGCTCTTATTGTATACAGCCAGATAACAGTTGGTGGTGGTAATACACAGAGAACTGTAGTAAACACAATGACAAATAGCACAATAAATTTGATATGTTTATCAGACCTCGAGGGCACATGGAAACAATCAACACTGATACAGCAGGAACACATATATTTCTCATTTCACGCAGTCTTCCTCCATGTCACGCGCTGCCACATACATTTCCTACAATGTAATTTGGGCCACAACAGTTCAGTGAGATTAGAAGCAAGTAATGCCACCTTGAACTGCTGTGCCTTGGACAGAAAATATGAGCACGTTACAGAGATCTGGTAAGCTCCCCAAATTTTTATTTTTAATTTTATTATTAAACTTTCAGATTTTCACTTCAGGAACAACTGTTGCTGAGTCAAGTGACATGCTGGTCTTATGCTCCCTGTGGAGTCACATAAGGCGTTGCTTTCAATGACTCAATTTGAGTGAATGAACTGTGAGGCTGTAGACTTGGGACTCGGACTCAAGTCGCACTGGATTCGCAAACATAAGGACAGTCAACTTGACTTGGTGTTGCTAAAATACTGAAAAACACTCTACTGAATGTGGTTTTGTCTTTGAGCTCTGGCAAGCTGTCATAAATAATTAATGACATAACAAAGATGTGGGCAACATCGGCTCACGCACGCTTTCAGCTGCAGATGCTGGAAGCGGAACAAAGAATACTCTAAATTTAGATAATTAAATTTAAGGTACTGGATAATTACTGAGAGGCCTTTTTTTTTTTAGCAAGTATCTAATTTATCACAAGAAACAGAATATAAATAAAGTAAAAGTTGTAAACAAGAAAGCTACTATTACTAAAAAATACTGCGACACTGGTGAAGCTGTTGTTTATTGTAAATGGTACATAGATTGGTTCTTATAGAGCACCTTTCTACTCTACCTGAGCATTTGAAGACCTTTATACAACATGCACATGCCTCATTCACATCCATTCAAGCCTAAGTGCTTTCTAACATTTACACACATTCACGCTCTGATGGATGCATCGGAGAGCAGCCAGTATCTTGCCCAAGGATATTTGGCATGCAGACTGGAGCAAGGGATCGGACCACCAACCTTCCGATTACTAGTTGAACTAGTTTATGGGAATACAGCATAACAACTGTGTGTGGGCGCTCATTTGGTTACAATTAGCTGTTCGGGGCAATTGTTTTTATTTTTATTTATTAATTTATTTTTTCCATTATGACACACATCCTTTGCTATTACTGCTCAGCCCACTCTTAGTACATCCAATGTTAATGACGCATCCATTTTCTTAAACACTGATCCAATTCAGGATCATAAAGAGGCAGGAGAGTATCTCAGTATTTCTCCCTGAACAGGTGACAAGTGTATCACAAGGCTAAAACAGAGATGCTAACATTAACATCTATGGCCAATTTCGAATCACCAGTTAACATAACAAGCATGCGGGAGGGGGACACCCACCCCGGCTGTCCACTGCATTAAAACTCCAGGAACGTCCTGCTATAAAGTGACAGCACTAACCACTGCACCACTGTGCCACCCTTAATAATGAATTACCAAAATCAGTAAGCTGCTGCTTTCTATTGTTCTAGCATCCCAAATTAAATACATGAGCTTGGATCATTTGTTTAATTGAGTGCTTTCACTGTTATCGCAGGTTCATTCACATTATAGCTTTTGGTGTAGATGTGCCATGGTCAAGCTGCACATTTCAAACAGCTGATCTTAAATTGATGCCTCGGGAAAGGCTAAGCTGGGTGGGCCAAAAAAAATGACAACAACAGTGATAAAGAACAGCTCTGTCTTGAAATGAGACATCCAGAACATTTTTCGGTGCGCAGGATCAAAACGAGAGATAACGCAACTCATTTACAATATTTGAAAAGTGCCTCGGCAGGCCTGACATCTGTTCACCTAAAATTTGCCCCAGAGTAAAGATAAGCAGAGAAATCTGTGTCTTTCTTACATCAATAATGAATGAGAGTTTTATATTAGCTGACACAAGGATATAGTGGAAATGGCTGATGTCTTTTTCATGCACTGTGCTTCTGCATGTTTCACTCCTTCAGTTAGTCTCTCAGCCAAAATGTCTCATTCTTGTCAGATTTGATGTTGTGACTCACCAGTCAGCCCCGTTCCCACTATGAGGTCTGCAGCCTAATTGAGATGGGGTGTTTTTTGTAGCACAGTTGCACCTGGGGAGCCACAAACCTCTCCACCCAGCGGTGTGGTGTGCGTGAGTTTTACAGTGAAAAATAAAAATCAGCCCTGTCTCACCAAGGCGCTGTTAAACTGTAAAATTCTTGAGTTTTACATGAGCATTAAAACTGGTGAGAAAATGTGACGCTACAGTTTTCGTGGCACACACATACCGTATCAGTTTGTGTTGATAGCGGATTCAAGACAAACTAAATCTCTAGAAAATACTTTTGGCAAACTGAAGTAAAAATACTTCAGTTTGCCAAACGAATATACAGGACAAGAGACTGTCGATAAAAACATTGCAAAATTGTAGAAGAAACCTGTGATCTCTAATATTTCAATGCACAGCAGGAGCAGGAGCTGCGCTGTAATAATATAAGTTTTTTAAAATATTTTATATTTCTCTCTGTCTAAAAAATCATTCAGTTATTTGAAAATGTGGCAATGCTTTTTCCAACTATATGTCCCTTATTGGGTTAAGTGACTTTCAATATGACAAGCTTGAAAATAACATGAAATAGTGCCCCAACAGAAGCAGGTTACCATAAAATATGCAACGCATATAGCATGGTGTTCTTGAGAGGGGTAATGTATCACAGTCAATTTTTGATTTTATCACTAACAGCCACTTGGTCTCACCAGCTGAGCTCCCGATTCTATTTGTGATAACAGTGCTTTAAACTCCTCTGGTCTCCTGCTAATGGGATGCGTGCCAGACCTGACCTCTCTGTGCCTTATGGTATTTCACTCACTTATATTACATTAACAGGCCTTGTCTTTCAGGCTTTGCCATATTGATTCTTCGCCCCTTCCAGCAATCCTTTCTAAGAGAGAATGAGGTGAAGTCATGGTGCAGCCATTAGAAGCAGGGGAGGGGTGTAGTAAGTAACACACAGGATGGAAAAGACTGACACAGACACCCGTGGTCACGGTCTGTACATTGAAAAAAAGGCAATAAATTTTAGAAGCTTAGTCATGCAATTAATGGAATATTGTTTTCATTACTGAAATGTGTTATCAGTTTGTAATATATTCAGATGTGTGTTAAATGGTGAACTGTCAAGTGTGGTGTGCTACCAGTGTTGGCCACTGAACAGCCACCCTACTACATAACCCAGAGTTCCTGTTTAGTAGAGCACATAATCAGACTTTGCCACCAGCTGCAGCAGAATGTCTGCATTAGAAGCACAGCAGTACTCTGCCACGCCGAGACTCTTAAATGATGGAGAGCATCCTGTGGCAGGAAATATCATGAACCAGAGTATTTTTTTCATTGTCCAAGAGCAAAAAACCCCCCAAAACAGATTTATCCACAGCCACAGTTATGAATGATCCTATGTGCTTTCCTTTCCCTTCTTTCCCTGCTGCTGCTGGTCTTGTGCTGCCTGTCAAAATGCTCAGAGATCTGGGTACTGCTGGACTGCGGTGCAAGCGACATCTGATTCTTGCAATCCCAAAAGAACAGCCTGGAAATTCAGCAGCTCAGCCTGTCAGTGTCTGACGCTGCATTTTTATTGTATGTGTGCTGTGTGCTTTCCCCCTCCTGCTAAATCCAGAGAATACAACGGACCTAAACCCATATGTCAAGGAAATATCTCTTCACAGGAAAATCTTTTATAAGTGAAATTGAACAAGGCATTAACACATATTTTGTTACAGATATGTGTAAATTGCAGTTCATCTGCAAAATTGCTAACATGGAAAGAGCACGTGAATCTAACGGATGCAATGTGAAGAGGGGGATGGGGTCGCATTTCTTCTGTTACTGCCATCTCTGCCCTGACAGCTTTGAAAAGGAAAGACAGTGCTTGCTGTGAAAGGGGAGGAGAGCTGATGGAACTAACAGCCACCACCTACTGAGGCCCACAGCACCCCAATCTTATCAAGCCTACAACTACTGAAAGGTCACTATTGTCAGTGGCTCTCAGGGACAATATAGGTGGACAGGTAATCTCATATAAATAAGACTGGCTAAAAGGTAAATTTCTGTCTATGTTACAGCACCATTGCAGCTAAATAAAGGTGACACTTCCTCAGTGTTAGCTAGACTGACAGCGGGTTAAAGGTGACAGAGCAGAAGCAGGCGGGTAGTTAACAGCTCAGCTGATAACACATTCCCAGGTGGATGCTGGGACACTAGCAGCAGCCTGTAAACATTGCCAGAGGCAGATTCTTATAAAGACCAAAGACAGGGCGGGCAGGGCTAGATCGGAGCTAGATGGGACCTGCAGGACTTGAAGCTGTCCTATATTTAGAACTGCTGCTGTGTGCATCGATGCGTTTGTGCTTTATGTGTGTTAATCTGCACGATGTGAGAAAAGGCTGTACTTATTTGAGCGCACCATCGTGCAAGGTACCCCAATTAGAAAATGTAATTGCAACTGCATTCTTTTTTCAAGAACATCCATCTCATTTCTGCACATCTTCAACACAGGGCTCCAAATGTGCCTTGTTCTTAAAACCTAGGGACACCTCAAAACAGGAAGTACGCATGAATTATATTCACCCTGAGTCCTAAAAAATGATTTGACTTATTAGAGGTAGACTTATATACAAATACAAATTCACATCAA